CCCCCTCACCCCAAGAACCCCCATCCTCACCCCCATAATCCCCCCAAGAACCGCGCATTTCTGCGCCGGCGGCTGGGACATAACGACAATACTCCCAGGTACACAGAGATCGACCCAGTGCTTGTCTTTCGGGATATTACTCTCACTCTCACTTCCCACATCCCCAGCTTGAGCGGCATGATGGGATTTCGAGACGAACGTCACGGTGGATGCTGGTGCGATGATGATACCGGTATCCTGGGAGTTAGGAGGGGGACTCCGAAGTACGAGATCAGAAAGGAAGCCCGAGTTGGGGACTTGGAGTTTGAGGAGGGCGTCGGAGATGTCGCATGCGTTGTATTCTTTGAGCTTGGTGATTTGAGAGGATGTCATTTTATCTAGTGTATGTCGTTGGGAGTGAGAATGAGATTGTCGGATGTGGGGACTGATTTTGTTCTTGATGGAGAGATAGCGGTGATTGGGACGTGAGAGGGGGTTGAATTTCTTGTTCACTTGAGGTAGGATTCTCATCTTGTTCTCTCAGTTTTGAGACGATGTACTCCGTATAAATGCCGAAAGAGGAGGTGGTTCAGGCGAGGTTGTCGGCTCGAGATCGGAGTTGACGGCCCGACCTACGTACATTCTGTAGCATGTGAAATATATTGGGTGTTTTTAAATGCGTCGGGTTTGAATGTTGTACTGAGTACCCAAAACAATAATCAGACTCATACAGAATACCAAAAGGCAACACAATAGACAAGAGTAGGTTTGTTCATTGCAAAGCATCAAGCTATGTAAAAAGCAAACGGAGATTCTCTATGCGGAATACATCCATAGAAGCAAAAACGCCTGGCATCAAGCAAAAGCGTTGAGCCTCCCGATAGTCACCTCCCTAGAGCTTCATATGACCCCAATCCCAACTCCCGCCAGTATTCTCATTCCTGTCCCTCATTCTATTTGAAACTCCTCGCCCCAGGTATGATTCTACCGCCAAACTCCATCGCTCAGTCTTTCTCTCTGTACATCATGCATGCAGATTGCATGGCACAGCCATTCCAATCATTCCCCTCTCATTGAACAGTCATTTCAGCGCCATCGCCATTGAAAACAAGTACTCCATGCTTTCCCTTGACGACTTCATACTCGGCTTCTTGTGTGCCGTCAACACCATGCTTTCCTGGCTTCAGTGGGCTGTTCTTGGCTCCAGATCCGATTCCCAAATCGTTGAGCTTGCCAGAAGCAATATCGTAAACGATACCATGGACAGTCAAGCCCCGCTCCTTGATTGCTTCAGCAACAACATAGTTGCTCATCAGGACCTGGACTCCTCGCTGGACATTCAACTCTGCTAATCGTTGCGCCCGTGCACCATCGTCGGTAATGCTCTTCAATTCCTTCTCGTTTTCAGCGCGTACGCCTTTTAGGGGGGTGAGCCATGCGTCGAGAACGCCGCCAATTCGGCCGTCAGAAAGAGCGCCGACACAACCACCGCAGCAAGTATGTCCGCAGAGGATAATGTGCTTGACTTTTACGTGCGCGACGGCATATTCGAGGACGGAGAGAAAGTTGAGATCCGTTGGGGAAAGGATGTTGGCGATGTTGCGGTGGGTGAAGACATCGCCGGGTTGGAGGCCCATGAGGGTTGTCTCGGGTACTCGGGAATCGCTGCATCCAAACCAGACTATTGAGTATATATTAGTCCGTATTCTATCTTGGATCTCAGGGTAAAAGGGAGAGGCGGCAAGGACATACGGATTTGTGGCGCTTGACCCTTAGACATCTCAGGGAAGTAGCTAGGGTTTTGGTGGCCCTTGTAGTTGGCCCACGCATCGTTGGATTTGAGGGCGTATGTGAATTTGTCTTCTCCCGTGTTAGTTTCCATTTTGAATCTTGCCGTATGTATGAGTATCGTAATCGAGCGTCAAGATGATGTTGAGGGGGGATGCGAAGAGGGACTCGGCGTTGAGCTTGGGGGAGGATTGAATAAAGTATAAATAGTCAATGCGATGTCGGAAAAGACGACGAACCTTGTCCAGTAGGTGAGGCCATTGTGAATAGCAGTTCTTGCGTTTGCCTTAACTCGACAGCAGTAATATGTACAAAAAGATGAAGAGTGAAAGAGTGAAGAAGAATAGGTTAGAGGAGGTATTTGTAGGACTCGGAATTTGTGATGGTAGAAATGTCTTCGAAATCTCTGTCTCGGGTTTCTGCGCTGGCTGGATGGAGGGGTGTGCAGGTGGCTACGATAAGCGTTGACCAATGAGAACCGTCAATTGCAAAATCAAGAGTTGCTGATTGTATCGTTTCTAGGACGAATGTTTTAACAGTTTTCGAGTTGAGGTCTAGACGGGAATAGTAGAATAGAGTAAACAAGATCATACGAGAATGACGGGAGAGAAGTGTTGAGCGGGGAGCCGCAGATAAATATGGGATGGGGAAGCGCGTGGGGAAGGAAGCAAGCGAGGCGAGGGGGGTCAATCCGACTCAATCGGTTGTCCGAGACGTGATTGCCAAACATGCGACAATCAATCAGATCGGCCCGCCTTGTTGGGTACATGTAGGTCTGAACCAGCTAGAGGTCTAGGTAGAAGAACTACGAGGGGCAGCTCCATACAAGATCGCTACTGCCGGCCGAATCAGCGTAAAAGTAAGATCTTACTAGTAAGGTAGGTATAAGTAGGTAAGAGCAACGCTCTTGACGTAATGGGATCGCCGAGTCACCAAACAGGCAAGAGAAAGGCTTTGCGGCCAAGAAGATTGCATCCAGGTTCTCCATGATCTTTTCCTCAAACAGCACTTGCGCACTTTCCTTCAAAGTACGTGCAATTGTAGGTGCGACACTATGCTTTTGTTGAGTGGTTGGCCAAGCTGCTTAAAAAGGGCGCCCAGAACTCCCGTTTTTCTCTCAGGTACAACCGGGACGGGACTACTGGTGGAATGCCTTCAGAAAATCGTCTTTTTGAGTGAGGCATTTTGCCGATGACAATGATGTCTCATGACTACCGCTTCAGCCGCCTGCACGCTCATGATATGTACCGCTACAGCGACTCAGGTGGGGGATCCGAGGATATGCACATTTCTGTAGAAAGAAGTAAACATTAAAGAGAAGGCGGCCGCGGAAACACGAAGGTAGAAGCGACGGGACTGGGCCTTGTGTTACTGTGTATCGTCTCGCCTTGGCGTGCTCAACATGCGTACAGCCGTCTATAAATCTCCGGACGGTACCGAACAGTTTTTCTGCAAACAACCATTAGCCGCAGTGATGCTGTACTTAAGTACTCCCTTGTTAATCTTTAATTGAAAATACATGCTGATTCTACATCACCGCTGGTAACGATCGATCATTAGCGTGGTTTACGATCCTCCTCGCTTGAAACGTGACTCGAGCGCCGACATAAATATCGATACGTCGTAGTAAATCGAAGTCAAGAAGGATGCTCCGGTGTATGGGTGGAGTGCCTAGAAGTTGACAAGGCTACCTAGGGGCTAGGCAGTTTCTAGATCATCGAAGAACAGCTTTCTACGGGTACCCCGGTTATCGCAAACTTCTACTCGACTATGCACAAGTAGTTCTAGCGAGTACCAGGACGAGCCTCCAGTTCACACCGTTCCGTACTGAAACCCACGCACCCCAGCATACTTCTTAAGTTTGGTTCACTACGATATCACCTGTGCAGACGTTCATCTGACTACAGGCCGCCACTGTCGATAGCGTTTGCCTGTTCACGCATACCATACACAACTTCAAGTCATGATTTCAAATGAAAAAGAAAGAGAAGCAACACAAGCCAGCTTGTCTGAAATTGGAAAATCATTTGATGAAATTGCCAAGAGTACAGTATCATTGGTCTGGAATTTTTGCTGTAGCTTTTTTCCTAACTACAAATCCCTTACCTCGCAATGCCATGATATCGTAAAAAACGCCGGTAAAAGCCCAATCAAGAATACATCCCATCCCTTAGATCTTGATAGCACTCTCAAGAGCCTTGCGCTTCTTCTCAGTGCGTGCGTTGGCCTTAGCACCCATGATACCACCACCCCAGTGTCTCTTGGCCTCCTCAAACTTGTCACTGTAACCCTCCTTGATGGCGGAAACCAACTTTGAGAATTCGCTCTTGTCCTCAGATCGGACCTCGGAGATGGCGAGGACAGCAGCAGTCTTCTTGTGGACGACTGTGCCGAGTCTGGCTTTACCCTTGATGATGGCATATGGGATACCCATCTTCTTGCAAAGAGCTGGAAGGAAGATAACCAACTCAATTGGGTCAACATCGTTGGGGATGAGGACCAAAGCAGCCTTCTTGTTCTCAATCAAGCCAACAACGTGGTTGAGACCGTACTTAACGGCATATGGCTTCTTGGAAACATCCTCCTTCTTCTTACCCTCCTTGATGGCGGTGGCCTCCTTGACGAGACGCTCCTTCTTCTCGGCCTTTGACTCGGGGCGGTACTTGTTGAGGAGTTTGAATGCCTGGGCGGCGGTGTTGCGGTCGAGGACGTTTTGGAATTGAGCAATCGCAGGTGGGACCTTGAGGCGCATGTTCAAGATCTTCTTTTGGCGTTGAAGACGGACATACTCGGGCCACTTCACCATACGAGAGAGATTTCGTCTAGGCTGGATGTCTTGACCGATGCCATAGTTTCGGGTGCGCTTCTCGATGAGAGGGTTCTGGCACCAAGTAAGCATCTGAAAAATTGCGAAGGGAATGCGCAACTACGTACCTTTGGGGCTTTCTTTCCACCCGCACCAGCTTTCGACTGGGGGAATGGGGCTGGAGCAGCCTTCTTTCCGGACTTTGGAGGCTATCATTGAGAAAAGAAGACATCAGCGAATGTGATCACCAATTATCTTCTTTGAACTCTAAAGAGACCACACTGGCATTTCTGCGCAGATGTAGCTCAAGCCAAATCATCATCAACGCCCGAAGGCAGTTGACGGGATACGCATCTCGACGTGCGATTGCTCGTAGAGGTCGGAGAGAGGCGGCGGCGAATAAAGAGCGTCAAGTATCAGATATAAAGGACATCAAGTCATAGCTTACCATGATGGGATCGTGTCGCTGAAAATGTCGCAGCGATTGTCGTGTGGTGGTTGTCGATGATCGGGAGAGAGAGAGGAAAAGTTTCGTGGGATTTTAAATTAGATTTGTGCGGAGGGCTTTCTTCGGCTGATTGGGGACCACATCCCTATATATCTTGGCATACACACGTGATTGAGGGGCAAGGTCCTGGCCGGGGCGCCGTTCTTTCCTCGCGCCTAAGATGATTTCTCTGACTCTGACAGGCCTCACAATCTTTTCCGCCATCCGACTTATTTTGAGGCGTTAGAGTCCTCATTACTCCTACATATTTATCATGGCGCCTACATTATGCGCCATCTGCCAAATTGCTCGCGCCTTGATTATACGACCAAAGAACCACCAGAAACTCTGCAGAGAATGTTTTATTTCTATCTTTGAGGCGGAAATCCACCACACAATCACCTCCACATCCCTGTTCTCGCGCGGAGACCGAATAGCAATCGGCGCCTCTGGGGGAAAGGATTCGACTGTTCTGGCATCGGTCTTAAAGACCCTCAACGAACGATACGATTATGGCCTGGATTTAGTTTTACTCAGTATCGACGAAGGGATCAAAGGTTATCGAGATGACTCTCTCGAAACGGTCAAGCGCAACGCAGTGCAATATGACATGCCCTTGAAAATTGTCGGATACGACGAATTATACGGGTGGACCATGGACCAAGTGGTTGAGGTTATTGGCAAAAAGGGAAATTGTACATACTGCGGGGTATTTCGGCGGCAGGCACTGGACCGAGGGGCAAAAATGCTTGGAATAAATCATGTTGTTACAGGACATAATGCGGACGATATCGCGGAAACTATCCTAATGAATTTATTACGAGGAGATTTGCCACGTCTCGCTCGGAGCACCAGTATTGTCACTGGAGACTCTGCAAGCGATGTACGAAGAAGCAAGCCGTTGAAGTATGCCTATGAGAAAGAAATTGTTCTCTACGCACACCACAAGAAGCTCGATTATTTCACCACAGAGTGTCTGTATAGTCCAGAGGCTTTCAGAGGAAGTGCCAGAAGTCTTATCAAAAACCTGGAGCGAGTCAGACCGAGCGCAATCCTCGATGTCGTGAGGAGTGGAGAGGATATGGCAAAGCTGGTCCCAGAGGAAGTGACAGGAATCAGTCAATGCAAAAGCCAGAAAGTCTCGTTATCAAGTGCTGATGGCGAGAGAGAAGGTGCAGGTGGCTGTGGAAGTTCGAATGGCCGGAATAGCGGCGGAGAAATGGCTGATATGGAAAAGAAGTTACAGCAAGATGAAGAGGCTGCTTCAAGAGAAATTGACGTGTCTTCGCTGGCATCGAGTACAGCACATATTCATCCCCCAGAGAAGAAAGGACACGATCCCAAGACTGGAAAGACAGGTAGGAAGGATGCAGGTCGCAAGCTTGTCAAGCAGACTTTGGGTTCTTGCAAAAAGTGCGGATACATGTCCAGTCAAGAAGTTTGCAAAGCTTGTACGCTTCTAGAGGGACTAAACAAAAATAGACCGCAGATGGAGATTGAGACAGATGTTGAGGATAATGAAAGCTCTACTCTTCGGAGGAGAATGGGGGGGGTAGCACTTGCCGCTGGGTGATAGATCTATATTACCGAAACTAAATATGTTTTCACGTTAATATAGCCTTCAATTGGTACCCTTGAAGCCTTGAAGGTGTCCAGGTTCTTCTTCTATACTCTGAGGTACGCCTATGTTCTCTCAAATAGCTGTCACTTTCACAATCATCTCCCAGAAAATAATCTACAATCAGCGATGAATATCTTAAAACTGTGTTGATTTGATTGGCTGAAATCTTTAGATGCATTGTTACTATAGGTGCAGCAGATGTGTGGTCCAACAGGGAGTGCAAGCAGGGTTCTGAGTTTACATCAACCAGATTCTGGACGTCCTCCAAGACTAGGTAGCGTAGTCGTCGACAACATTCTACCTACTCGTCGGGTCCATATGTCTGAGTTACCTAACGCCGATGTTGCTTATACAACTAAGATTTACACAACACAACTCCTAAATATAACTAAAGCTACTATATACGCCTCCTCTGACAGTTACTGGGCAACAATCTTAGGTACGTAAGTATAAATACGTGAGAGTTGTAGAGATTTTAAGGTGGTAGAAACGATTTCGGTGTTAGGTGACTCAGACTTATGAACCCGACGAGTACAATCTATTATCTGGTTCCCGAGAGTAGAATTTGCTTAATGTACACTTAAAAAGAACCCTGCTTACACACCTTGTTTTCCCAGCCATCTATAGCGAATCGGACATGCTACCGTGTATGGCGTATCTGGCTTGGTACTGCACGTCTGAGGCACATAAATACGACACTTCATTGGACCGAGATGAATATTAGTAAGTACTAATACTCCGGTAGTGGTCCATTTTTTATCTAGTTTTCATCACACTTTTTCTTTTGGTCCGGCTGCCTGTTTTATCTGAATTGAGTTGGAATTGGCGCAAGAGTCTGTAGGCGAGCTGCCTCCCAAAGTTCAGGATTGCACCCAAGTAGAAACCAAAGGGTGCTGCAACTGTATTATACACAACGATATAGACAAATATCCATATCCAAAAAATGGTCGCCAAAGCTACCTCCCAAGGAACCAAAGTGTCCAAACAACAAGTTCCCAAGGAGTTAAACGAAAGGTTTCCTGGCAACTACAAAAGCGATGATTTTGCAAAGGAGCATAAGACTGGCGGATGGCGCGAAGGAATGGATCACAGGGTTGATCACTCAGGACATTTCGAGTTTGGGGGCTCGTTTGGTGCCTCGGTTATTATTGTTGGGTCGCCGGTGTTGATGTATTATCTTTGGATTGGGGCTACCTATTATGATGGACAGTTCCCAGTTCCGGATAAGGACCAGACGTTTTGGGCGTTTGTGAAGCAGATGTGGGGTTTAGTTTATGTGAGTTTCTCTTTTTATTTCTGGTTTTGCTCTTGGGGTGATTGGAGTTGGGAGTGGATACTTGTATGGTCTGGTGTTTCGTGGGTATTGTGTTTTAATATGTATACCGATACTGTCTTAATTGATGTTTATCGTTTCTGTAAAATAACAAGACTGACCTCAAAGACTAGACTGGAGCCTACCCCCACCTCAGAGCATGGAAGATTTACTGGACCTATTACATCTTCGAAGCCCTCTGCTACCTCTTCATGCCTGGCTTCACCTGCTACGGAAAACCCCTCCAGCACCTGGGCGGCCAAAAACTTCTTTATTACAACTCAGCATACACCTCTTTCTACCTCACCATCTTCGTAATGGGCATCTTGCACTTCACAAGCCTCTTCCCCATCTCCACATTCCTCGACGAGTTCGGTCCCATCATGTCCGTAGCCATAATCTCCGGCTTCCTCGCCTCCCTCTTCGCGTATTTCTCGGCTTTTTACCGAGATGCACAACATAGGATCACTGGGTATCCAATCTACGACTTCTTCATGGGCGCCGAGTTAAATCCGCGGTTCTTGTGGTTGGATTTCAAGATGTTTTACGAGGTGCGGATTCCCTGGTTCATACTCTTTGGGCTTAGTTGTGCAGCGGCCGCGCGACAGTACGACGAATATGGATTTGTTTCTGGTGAGGTCTGGTTTATCGTTATGGCGCATTTTATATATGCCAATGCCTGTGCGAAGGGTGAACATCTCATTACGACATCCTGGGATATGTATCAGGAGAAACTTGGTTTCCTGTTGACATTTTGGAATATGGCTGGTGTTCCTTTTTCCTACGCACACACGATACTTTATCTCTCGAATCGGGATCCGGCTCTTTATGCTTGGAATAAGTACGCGCTGACTGCCTTTTTCCTCACCTATATATTTGTGTACTGGGTATGGGATACCGCGAACGGCCAGAAGAACTCGTTCCGAATGATGGAGCGGGGGACCTTCGTGAAGAGACGTACTTTTCCCCAGCTTCCCTGGCAGGAAATCTATCATCCCGAAACCATCAGACTTGCAAACGGTGATACGATATTCTGCGATGGGTGGTATGGGATGGCAAGGAAAGTGCATTATTCTTGTGATTTGTTCTTTGCGCTTTCTTGGGGCTTGATCACTGGATTTGACAGCCCGTTTCCGTGGTTCTATTCGGTCTTTTTTACTGTCATGATCTCGCATCGGGCTATGAGAGACGTTCAGAAGTGTAGGGAGAAGTACGGGGAGGCTTGGAAGGAGTACGAGAGGAGGGTGCCTTATTTGTTTATCCCGGTAAGTTTTGTTCTTCTATAAATCACAGTACGGCTTGACTAATGTATAGTATGTAGTATGTCATCTAAACTTAGCTGACTGCGCTCTTCGCTATTTACACATCAACCTCGGGTCTGTTCTAGCCTTTGGTTACACATATATGTGCGCGATATTGACAAGTCTATAATAATGTAACATTAAATTTCTGGGCTTCACTATGCAGTATCAAATTTACAAGCTAAGAGTATGCTGTAATCATTTCATTTCTGGTCTAATGTAAGGCATTAGACACCCGGAAGATTTCCCCCTGGTCTAAGTCCACGCAAATTCGTTATTGCAACTGTGATATCTCTACTGTTCAGGCCGTCTTGTCTCAATACAAAGACTGCGATAGGAACACACGTCTTCTCAATATATCAGTACCCACTAACCCACTAACAATTGTCTCATGAATGACCCATTTGAGATGATCCCTATGCCTCCTAAGAATCTTAATATAAACAGTAGCCATAATTCCAATTCGCTCGTCAATTGACGTAAAGCCTGATCAGGATCTTGCATAATAACACCTGAAGGTGTATTCTCGTCCGAGACATGTTGAGTAATCTTTCGTTTTTGCTTTTCTTCCTCGAGTTTTGAGACGAATAGTAGGTTCTCGGGATTCGTACTTGGAATAGTCGTTTGTTTCGACACGTTTCTTTCTAGTTTCTGTGGCAATACTCGGTTTGGTTTCCTTGGGTAGGTCATTAGAATTCAGATCATCGTCCTCGTATACATCTTATTCCATGCACCAGTACGTGGCGAGTTGTCTTACAACAACAATAATCCAGGAGCTTCTGCCAGATTCTGCATCTCTTCGAGGATCCTTACCTCACCCGTCTTCATGAGCTCCATCTACCTATTATTACTACATTCAGCAAACTTCAAGTTGTCTACGAAGATGAAAAAGGTTTCTCACGAAATGAAAGTACACATAAGAAGATTCGAGAGCTAGCCCTAGCTAGGGCCCGCTCATGGTGCCCTGATTACATTTTGCTTCCATTAGATCACCTCCCTTACACTATACCTCCATGTTCAACGTCTGTTCGCATACCCTCTTGCTTTGTATAGCGGCTATGGATGAAATCGTCGTTATTAGAAGTATTCATACCGTCCCTCGCTTGCCCACCCTCTTCTCGACTCATCTAGCCACTTGATCTATGTTCTCTTGCTCCTTCGCATACTTTCTAAGCCTTGAGTCGTTCGCAACTTTCTCGATTCAGCCAGGTTATTCGCGTCCTGCTACTTCTTGATATTCTCCTTGGCTAATCGCTCCTTTTCTTCTAAGCATCCTTATTTATCCCGTTTTTTGGGTCATTGCTGCTTGCCGTCAGAATCAGCGAACCCGCTGACACCCGATATTTTAGGTAGTGGTACAAAAGTGGAACGAAACCACACAAAAATAATGTAGTTCCCATGTGTGAGTGGTAAATCTTGTGAGGTACGTTAGTTGTGTACACCTCTTCGAAAGAGATGAAAACAGATCTCAGGCTACTCAAGTAGAAATCGGTTCTTTGTGCGTAGATATATTGCTAACTATAAAGAGGCTATACGGAAAAACCTGGATATAAGGATACTGGATATAAGGATACTGGATATAAGGATATCTCGGTTATATCCTGACGAAACTTGCCCCCATGAATATCCTTGTATCCAGGTTCTTCTGTAGCTACAACTCTAGTCGACTCTGCTGAAACGGTGCCCTCTGTGAAGGCCAATATAGTCGTTATTTCGCATAGCGCAGAGTAGGCGTCTGAGAAACGTTGAGCGTGCCCCGAAAACTAATCAATGCCCAGGACACTTTACCGATGACGGAAGAATTGAATTGTATTGTTACATGGATTCTCTTTATGTCACACAACAGATGGAAACAACACATGTTATCAACTACCGTTGGGCGTTGGGAGTTTGAGCTGAAAGAGGTTGGAAAATCATCCTGTATGTAAGACTTTTTGGGAAATGAAATATCCAGAAGTATGTTGGACTTTTACTTAAATTCTAGACAAAATGGGTTCAAAATTGGTACCAGGAGAAGAGTTCTTAAGTCTCCTGTCTGCATTTGGTAAATACACCCAACATTCACGAAATGGGTTGCCATTAATGAAAATAGGTGCGTGTGTACTGTGGATAGACTTACCTAAAAAATAAAAGGTACTAGAAGATAGATTACTAAACCCAAATAAGTAATATTGTTAGATATGGTCTAACTGTCGAAAGTCTTATTCTGTTATCAACAGAGGAAGTTTTCCAGAACTAGATAACTGCGATCAAAAGTATATGGTTCTAAGTGTTTCCAGGGGCCTCGACAGTTCGACCCGCTCCTTACATACGAATTGTTGTGGGAAGGGTTTAACGCCGCTATATAGCCTTCTAATCCAGTCTGCTTGTTCGAATTATATAGAAGTATTTTAGAAGTTAAGAAAGGGATGTGGGGGGACGAGTGAGTAACAGGAGCCGTCCAGACCCTAGGAAGTACTTTGGTACTTCGAAGTAAGAACGTCTTTCTGGAAATTCCATCACAAGCTCAGGTTATCAGAACGCTAGTTCATCTTATTTATGTTTCAGCATCCTTGCGTCCTTCCCACGTGATAATTTAATAAGGTAGCGATCGACACAGACAACTTCGAAGTACGTTCAGATATCGATTAAAACTTAAGGGCCTATTTAGTAAAACACATAATAAGTGGGAACAGTAAAGCAATAGGCTTGGAGAGTCGGAATATACGAGTCAAACAACGTCCGAAGACTTCTTTATGGAACACGGTAGATGAAATTTGTCGTCCGAATTCAGAAATATTTTAGTGGTAAGGTGCGGTCTTAGAACTGGAAAGAAGTCGTGAAAGGCCGGGTTATAGTTAAAAAGATAATTTAACTTATAGAGAGGGAAAAGGATTAGACGTTGTTATCTAACCACGCTTAGCGTAGCTCATTTTATAATTTAGTAAGTTATCAAGTCTAGTTATATACAGCATAAACCCTCTTCAACAGGTGCACCCATCCTTGCTAGGAGAATTATACGATACAAGTTTTGGGGTTATACTTTGTGCCCCTGTCGATGAATCCTATCTCCTCAGACTCCTCCGCGGTCCTCGTCCCGCCAAGATACATTTTCGTGTTTGGCGAGCCCCTGATTTAAACGCTTGTGTGCGTCTCTTTTTGTATAGAGAGTACGAGTAAGAAGAATTTTACGGTCTGAAGTTTAATTCTAACGTAGTATTATATATTTATAAGACGATCCTAAGTTTATACAAGTTTCCCTTAACCTTCGTAGAAGTTCTGTATAATACTAAATAGAATATTTTAGTAGTGTTTACAGAATCAATTTACACGCCCCAAATTAGGCCAAATGTATTCCTTGTAGGACACATACCACGGAGGAGCTACGTTATTTAACAATAATTCGTTAATGAAGTCCCTCAAACAAAATCGCACTATAAGTTATCCACAAGTTATATGCACATAAGATGTACGCTAATAAACCTTATGTATAAATGTAATTCGTCGACACAATCCTTATATTAAATGTAAGATCTTACATGCAGATGATCTGTGATTGATAGGCCTGGTGCAGTGATGCTTAAAATGTGCAAACCCGGCTCGATTGACAATTGAAGGCATGCAAGTTGCTACGTAGATGGCACGCAAGTTATTTCCCGGTAACAAAAACTCTCTCCCCTAGTAAAATGATCTTCGGATATGGAAGGTGGGAGGCATAAGATCTGGAGAAGGCCAAGGTTACGCTCAGGCAAACGCAGCTTCGAAGCTTATCAGAAGCGGCATTTGCGCCGCGCGTGTAAACACGTTCCCCTGATTTTCTGAATCTCCGTTTTGATTTCTACTGAAGTACGGCAGCTTTGAGACTTGCTTCAAAGAATCAAAGCTCACCTGGAGCCACGGTAGAAATGGCGCACGCGGGTCCCTTGGCTACGTTCAGTGATACCCAATCTTACCTGCATATCAGGAGCACTTCTCCCACCGAATTTTGAGCATTTTGGTCCCCTCCGTATTTCAGTCTGTGAGTGACAGAACAAGATATCAACAATGTTGTCAAAATTATGTTGTACAGGTGCGGGAGCTGCTCGAGTTCATGGGGAAGATGAGACTTTTCTACCTGCAAGAATCATTGCTAAGGCAACCATGTAGGTCTACTTACCCGTCTTTCTTTGCCCCATCTTACTCGCCCCCAAATCTTTGCCTTTCTACCACTTAAGTTTATAACAGACCTTCAATGAGATCCTCGAATCCCCAAAGAAGAAACAAGAAGGGGGATCTAGTCCATCCCGATCGATTTGTGGTAACGCCCTATCATGACAGTGTATACAATACCAACTACATGTGGGCGGATACAGCGGAAAGTTCTAGGAATAGTAGAAGTTCAAGTGATGAACGACTTCGCCAAAGTTAAGATGTTAGGAGGGAGGAGAGAGAACTTGAGAAAGCAAGGTTACTGGAGAATGCCGCCGGGAGTTGGGTACAGATGCGTCATCTGTCCCTGACGACGATATTCTATCAACCAAAATCCTTCAGCAGAAAGATATGGCTCTTTGCTGCCCTAGCCTCCGATCACGACGAACATTATCTCAACCTTCGAAAGGTTCCTATAAGCGAAAAAGCAACAAAAACAATACGCATCTTCAGAATAATTCCTGACTTAATGTCAATTCAACGATCTCGACGGAGGCCAAAACAGCCACAGTAACGGACGAGGGAACCGTTTGGGAGATTCATTACTGTCTTTTCATGTAAAAAACACCAAAAAAACGCACATTCACTTCACTTCGCGAGCTGGCTTGGTTTCTTAATGTCGGGAGGAAGATTTAGGGTTTGGTGGTGCAACATAACGAAGAGGATGCAAAGGGAGGGACGGATTTTTCATTTCGACTGTCTAATCATAATGATGGTGATCGTTTTCATGTATCTGCCGCTGGAGTTGTTTGGAGCGAGTCATTTCTTGATAAATCTTAGTAATAAAGCAAATAAAACAAGCAGCACGTTGGGGTCAATCAAGCACACTAGAACAGATGAGAAAGCCAATGTGGTACCCCAGGTCCCTGGTTGTGAATGAAGCAAGGCTCATACTTCTACATTCCATATGGCTCCTAACCGTCATTGCACTTGAAACACATGGTTCCCCAAAAGCTTCTTCCAGTGAATGCAATTCCCCCAAGCCCCCAGACGCCCAACGCCAGAAAAGAATTTTGGAAAAACAGAAGGACAATCACTTTGCCATGAAGCTGTGTAAAGAGACGATTTTATGAAGTATAGGACATATGGAAGGTCTTGGGGTCTTCTCAAAAAGATAACTTGATCTCATTATTGCGGACGAACCTCAGCTCCACATTTGTCGCAAGACAATAACCAGATCCACCATATACGACCCGTACTGCGTAAGCATTCCCCAAAGATTGTAAATAACATCGAGTGGCCATTGGCAGAAATATGAGCCCTCATAATACCTTTTTTCATAGGAAGAAAACCATTTAGCCGTGTTCAGAGCATCATTATCGGAGTTGGAAGACTGAATGTGGCCCATACTCTCTGGAGACCCCTGCGTCCCCGGTCCACGTTTCTCGCTTACGATATGTAACTTTCTCCAAGCTTGCCTTCTTTTCCCAGCTTAAATTACTACCAAGAAGTCTCCAGACCCCACAAACTTGGCGCATCAAGCCTGAGTACACACTTCTCTCCGAAAATCCGATTTTCACAAAATTTTGATAAAAATTTCACCTACGAGTTCTCTGTTGTACATATTCTACAGTCGTAATAGCAGTCGGTGTCAAGCGACTCGCGAAAAGGGAGGTACTCGGTACGAAAATGTTTTTATCAACCATTTGAGTTCAAATATGTGTTTCCGTTTGATGGTTAGATACACGCACTTTAATTTTAATATAACTATCAAAACTATACTTACTCGTGCTTAACACCTGACTTTTTAGATAAAAACAAAGATCAATACAAATGCCTACTTTGAATCGTGTGATCTCTTCTATGCTTCCGAAGAAAGACTTGAAGATGGTGGACAGCTAAGAGTTACACCATGTGCGCAGATCTATGCATAAAACAAAAAGTATATTTTTATAGAGCGCGAGTCTCTGGTTCGCTGATTTCGCTGAAGACTGCGGCCGACGTATATTATGAACTAGCAGGGCGTGACTCTTAGCTATCCACCCTCTCTACACAAATCATCGATATGTTTATCAGGTTAGACTTAACCGTAGTTTCGACCTGTTCTTGATCTAAGCTGAGAGCCAAGACGTCTTTTCATCTGAACTTGGTGTATCCTACCTTTCAGAAAGGGGTTTCCTTGTCCCTCGCCTTAGCTACCCCAGATAGTCAGCATTACTACTCCCTCTCCCCACTATAGCAAAAGGTCTTCAACATTTTCTGGTGGTAGCACGTACGAAAAGAACTTGTTGAACCAGGGGGAGTATGGAACGATTCACTAGGTAGATGTGAGATTTACGTCCCAGGAGTAATATATTTGGGTTTACTATAAGTGTTTGTTCCCTGTAATCCACTATAAAAAGCTACAAGTAACAACGATGACTCCTGGTAGAGGGCGGGAAAATAACCTGACTCTGCCAGAGAGGAAGAAAGTTCAAGAAACGCCCGTTTCTCTACCATGTATACCACGTGCTAGGCCATAGATCGTAAATGTCACAGAAATTGTATGAACATAACAGATACCGGTAATTTAGAGTTAATTAGTAAGTTGATTGTTAATATAATATCTCTTAAACAGCTATTTTGCCCCGTTGTTATCGTGTAGCGCTACAAGGTTGCCCAAAGAGAACCCTTTTTAGGGCAGAAAATATGGTCATTTGTTCTGTCCCCACGAAGATTGTCCAAGGGTATCCTGTAATTCTATTGCAAGGCATCCAAATTCCAGTGAGTGATAAAGGTTGTTGTTTGTTGGAATACCCTGGTCCACGACGTCGAACATCTCGATCCTTCCTCTGTTCACTTGCGAAAACAAGCTAGAAGAACAAGGTACGCGGACCGGAGAGCTGGTAGAGGTAATTGCATGCCATGTGTAGAATAATTATATAGCCTTGATTTCGTCTCCAACTTATTCCACTCGCCGCCCACCTCTTGGATCTCTCACTCTTCCAAGTCTCTTTGAGCAAAACATAAAGCACGGCACGCTCACCATGAAGTTCACTATCATCATCGCACTCATTCAAGTCGCTGCAGTATCCACACAACAAATAAAGCTCAAAGACGTATGGTGCGCGAGTGTGGGTATTGGTCTTCCAGAGGGTCAAAACTGTACTGGAGATACATTCTGCGTGCGTCCCTCTAATCAGAGCTGAATGCTCAACTCTCTTAACCACTTCTATTAGAAAGTGCTAGAAGATACGAAGATAGTTCTAACGAATATGTAGTGCACCTATGGTGCCCAAAACGGGATATTCGAAATCCATAGAAGGTGTAATCGTCTAAGGACAAACAAAGGTTTGACTTACCTCTGTGATCCCAAAGATAAGAAAAGAGGCTCTGGTGTAAGTTTTACCTCATTCATCGTGTATCTGAGATATCATGTCACTTTACTAACCGTGTGGTAAATCAAGCGTATCGATTGTTGCGAAAGACCACCAAAATGAACCCGAAGTCCATCACGAGTCAGGCGTTGTCTACGTTCAGTTTATACCAATTTTATTTCCGCTGCCACTCTATCTGTTGATTCACACTTTCACCAAAGTTTGAAAATGCGTATCCACTACATGGAAATCGGTTACTTCGATTATTCAATCCTATGCTCCTTGTGCTGGCTTGTGTGTCTTTTCTTTGGGCTGGGATGTCTTCCTAGATTAAGACACCTCCCAGAAGTAGGAAAAGGGATGTCGTAATCTAGGAATACACTCCCAGTAAGGGGTTTTAAATGTCATGGCTATGGCTTAAGCGTTATATCTTCTTTGCTTTGCTTTGCGGAGCATGCATGCAGACAGTCATGCATACATACATACATACTTCTGCTTCAAGTCTAATTTCCAACAGACATAAAGGAAGTTTTCTCCTTCCACTTCACCGTCAATTCTTGACTTGTCTCCGTATCTTCTTTTTGCCCTGAAGTCGCTTGCTACCTAGTACATACCCAGCCACCACCGCCAAATCTCTCACTGCTGTGATATACTCGACTCTTTTATTAGTCGTAATGTACAGTAGACCCGCTTGTTCGTGTACCATAAGTACTCGAGAGCTTCCACTCCTTTAGCTCGCACCACAATCGATTCTTATACCATATTCTGCACTTTTTTATGTCCTTTAATATTGTAGATGTCTCTATATTAACGCTCGCGAGTCACACCACCCACTTTACCACATAGCCGAATCTGGGTACACAAAGTTGAGAAATACTAGTGCGAGATAGAAAGGGGAGAAATATGCGATTTAAGAAGTAAGGGTACAAGTAGGCATTAATGGCCCTGAAATTGCGCTAGCAGCGTTCGGCATATGGAAATCTGTTCCATTCTAAAACCCCCTCTATCCCTTCCAGGCTCCTAAGCGGCCTAGAAAACGTGCACTCATAAGTGGATGCATGTAGGTACGATAAGTAAATATCTTGCTAAATAGTGATGTAACTTACGACCCCTCGCCAAGTATTTTCTACTAATAATAAGGTAAGAATATATATATTTAGCGTATGAAAGAAATACTTAGCTACTTGAGTATATACGGGTTGTACTTAATTAGACTAGAGTAGTATTTGGGACTACGAAATTAGGGGACTTATAGGTAAAGCGCGTGAGATTTCATACTGTTTAGGCTATAGGAGAATCTAAATTTATAACTTCTAACTCGCTCTCCGTTTAGGTTAGACAAAAAGAATAGTATAAAGACGTGCATCATATTTGAGAAATATAGTGGGCTTATGGATTAAGCGTGTGATTTGTTATAGGAATCTTGACATTAAAGGGCAGAAATTCACTAGAACTATTAAAATACCGGTACTCAAGAAGCTGTGATTATTCAATACACGATGAAACAATGTTTAACCTATACGACATTTCCAAAGATGTGGGAGAAAAGGCTTCTTTCGTGCTCGCTAAACATAGCGACCTATCTTTCTCACGTGTTTTCTTTTTTATATAGGTACAAAGTTTGTCTTCAGGTAGGTACGAGGGGAGTTGTGTTTGAAAATATGATAGCTAAAGTATCATATTCCGCCTTCTCGTGGTACTATAATGTCTCTCGACAGGTTGGCAGGTTGCAGATAGCATCAAAAGTGGGTAGGGGGACGAGATGTCTTTCTCCAGTCGAGTCACTCATTCGTAGCCCTGATCTGGCACCGTTAGTCCTTTGATGTTGTATCGAGTTATACCGTACCATGGGACCACCATCTAGGTAGATGACCTGCAGGCCTCCTGCGTTGAGGCCTAACTTACTACTCTGCACCCGACGATTGCAACCCGACACAACCAACGATATCGGATGCATGAGGGTTGGTTCGCAAGCGGGTGAGGTAAGGCAAATATATAAAGAGTTTTGCGACTTCCCCAAGTCGATAATTGCTTATACTTATGGCACATCTTGCCTTTTCCTGTTTTCAAGATGTTGCCTTGTTTTTTTGCCCGCTTTTCGACGGCTTCTTGATGATCTTTCTTTTTGGAGAGACATCGGTTTTGGTGAGAGACCGAGCCAGCGAATCAGAATCGCTTAAACGACACTCGTTCTGATTGACCCAGCCCGCTTCTCAACTTCTCTCCGACTTCCAATCTTTCCTCGTCCTGAGTCTAAAATCCACGCTCCAATTGACGCATGAATTCGCCAAGCTTTAATTTTCTCTATCGAGCTAATGTTTGGACAGATTGACGACCTTTGAGATCGAGGAATTTGATGATTTCACACCAGAAGAAGTCTCAATAGTCGAAAGACAGTCACAGCCACAAATATGACCACAACCCATGCAACGCCTCTTCAACAACGACAAGCCTTGGTCCAACACGACTTCCATCGCACAGTCGAGGCCACAACAGTCACGACGGAGCGTATTGCTAGGCGCCCCGATGTTACTCAATACGATGAACGCGGAATAACGGCTACGGTACTCGTCGCCTCGTTATCCAGAAACAGGAGCCGATTCCGAGCTGTAAGGCGGACGAGAAAAATGCGAACCAGAAAACTTTTCAACCGTTGCCTAACGCCTCACCGGAATGAATGGTCAACGGTGCCAGTTCATCTTGCATGTTCATGTTGGGAGCCAAACAGGTGAACCGGGCAACCCAATAAAAGCAGTGCCTCCTCGAGATCCCCTGAATCCGAAGCGAAGGGTTTTCTCTGTTGCTTGCTTGCTCTTCCTCGTACAGTGGCCAGGACTCGTTCGGAGAGCGTGTTGAGGAGTCATTTGCAGCAAGATACCGGCGGCTAGTCAACAAGTCATCACTTTAATCCTTCCGGCCTTTTTCGCCGTGTTCTGCTGGTCTGACAAGATTACCACGCATCAAAAGGGCAAACGCTGCCTTGCATTCTGCCCTACTTCTTTGGCGAACCAAGCCCCCTTTCCCTTGATTCGCGGGATTGCCCTAGCAAGGCTGCAAATGTTTTCTCGAATCCATCAATGTGTTATGACTTCTTTGATGCTGCGATGTGGTAGTATCGAGGCTCTAGGCAGGTGTAGTCGTCGAGTAATCAAAGCTTGGAGGCTTATGCTTAATCACTCAATTCCTCTCTCCGCGAATAGGAAAGGAGCATTGTTTGTTTTGTTTCATTTTTATCGGTGTCCCAAAAAGGACTCCTTGCTCCAAGTAGGATACAGAGGGCCCAACTGGTCAATTCCATGCAAGGCTCTAAGCGGGACCTTCACAGCGAATTAAAATTAGTAGGGCGGGCTATGTTGGCAGTGTCGTTTTACTTCACTATCCTCCCCACTGCGAAATACTGTGCAGAGTGTACATGCCCATTTGCACCGCCTTGTGACGATGGGTACACAAGAGATAACTAGTCCAAGTCCTAGCAATATGGGCGACGGATGACTTCCCCGTTAGCCTCAATTCAAGCATAATGCCAGTCTCTGGAAGACAACTTAAAGATCGTTTGACCGCCATCGTTTTGCAACTACAGTAAAACCAAGATTCGGCCTACCTGCCTCAGGACTCTTCACGGTGGAAATATTGATTCAGTCACTCCTTCAAAGTATTCACAGTTAATTTACTATATATTATTCACAGATTAGAATCCAGGTATGTTCTTTACTGTATTACTAAAACAGTCAATTCACTTGAGAGCTAGTGGCTCTTCTATTTCATATTCGAGAATTAAGACTAATGAATCGTCTCGCAAGGGTAACAACAGCACCTTGAAACAAAATGGACCAACAGAACAGGCTCCAATTCTCTCAATTTCCCTCAGAGCCAAGTTGGACTGGGGAATATACGGAGTGGCAATCCGAATACCAGCGGGGTGCCTGGGGAACAACGGGTGGTGAACCTATGAGTACCACGAATTCTAATAGTACATTGTACAGCCAAAACTCCACATACTCTGATGGGACAACCGCAACTTCGATGAGTCTCCCCTATACGCTGGACTCTCCCTCTGCAGAGAATGTCCAGTTTAGTCCCGGTCCTGGTCCCGGCTACTCGGCAGCATTTGGGGACATGTCTTTGGTCGAGTCCAGCAGCGCAAGCGCCGCCTACTTCCCTCCTCAATACCAATATCCCGTTCAAGCTGCACAGCCAACACCCTCATCCCTTGGTTGGGACATGACAGTTATGAAGGTACAAGACTTCTATGATTTCGTTGTTGAGAAGGCAAATGAGCCATACCTTCAACTACGTGGCCAGCTCCAAGACCATTCAAAGTCTCCTATAGTGTTCCTCGACAAAGATAGGTATGCTACTACTCACTAGGGAGCCCCATAATGAACCAAATACTAACAATGCTTAGCCACGAATCTCACAAAAAGCGACATCCTTGTCTTTACCCCGGACGCAGTTGCTGGAAAAACGGTATCCAACCCGTCTTCGCCAGGACAGCCGATCTCGAACGCCACTACAACGTCGTCCACGACGGCTCCTCAGGCGAGAAGTTCGCATGCGACTACCTGAAATGTACCCGACACAACGACACTTTCACCCGCAAGGACCACTGTCGAGACCACTACAAGGAGTACCACAAAGAGGACATTGGCGAGTACAAGGGCTCCAAATCCGCCAAAGACAAGTCCCGCTGGCAGGCCAAACAACGCGAGTGGGAAGCCGAGCGCAAGATTGATCCGTACTGGTGGCGATGTCCCAAGTGTCTGGACCGCGTCAAGATCGAAAAGAGCGGCTGGACGTGTCCGGGCTGCAAGAAGGAGTGTGATGGTAGCCGCTATGAGGCTCGGATGAGGCTCTTGAACTCGAGTCGGACGGATGACAGGTCGCTAGGTGACTCGGACCCGGCCTTGCAAAGCGATTCGACGTACCACTCTTACCTACATTGCAGCACGTGCAATGATACGGGGTATGTTGGTAGCGAGATGGAGGGCTATAGTCCGTGTCTCTATTGCCAGGGGACAGATAATTATACGTACGATGATGCGAGAAATGCCAATGAGAGCTATGAGGAGGCGCCGCCGAGTTGGTCGCAGCGACGGTATGATTATGGCTGTGATGATGTGACGAGATGACCAGGAATGCGCGACTGGAGTGATGCTTTCTCTGCGGATGGATGGATCGATGCGCAATGAAAATTTGGGAGGCAAGAATGAGCGTTTCGTACGATTACCATTGGGGGTTGGATATTTGAAAGAGGCGTTTGCAGAAGGGGCTTCGTGGCTATGCTGTTTCGTTTCCTATTCCTAGCGACTTTTTTCTCCTCGCTCCTTCGTTCTCCTCGCTCCTTCGTCCTTTTGATTCTTGTCTTTTTTTCGCGCTTTCTTGGGTTTTCTGGCGATAAACCTCGGAAGGGTGGTTTTTTTACTTTCTGCTTCCTTGCTTGAGCACATGTTCCTTGTTTTCTACTTGGGCATGTGTTTGCGACTAGGATTTCCTTTTGTTTTTGTCCTTCTCATCTTTTCCCTTCTTGGTGGGCGTCTATATGAGTGAACGATGAGAGGGTGTTTGTGTTCTCATCTTTTTGTTCTTTTCCTTTTCCTTTTTCCTTTTGATTTCTGCCCTATGGAATTCTTCCACTTCTATTGAGATGCGGTTTCTTACCACCCTCGTTGTCTTACTATCTCATCGTCATGGAGTCTTGGGTATCTGGGATGGCGTTAATTATCTATTTTCAGGTGTTTTTTTGGACTTGGGGGGTACGGTGGGTTTCTTTAGGAGGCGAAATGAAGAAGTAGATTTTTTGGTTTTTCATGGTGGGAGGTGGTGGGTGAGATTCTTTCGGGGGTAAAGACTTATAGCGAATTGTGTTCCTTTCTCTAATGGGTGGGTATGAATGAAAAATAAAATTTGGAATGAGAGACTTTTGGTTGCGAATTTATGACCTACAGTAGTCGTGTTGGTGTGGTGTGTTTGCTAGTTGATGGATCTTGATGATTTGTTCTTGAGATTGCTGTGGGTGTGGTACTGTAAGATCTTACTCGTCTCAATCCCATAAGTCCAGGAGTAGAGGTTTACACAATTAAGTTGGAATACCCTGGTAATTCATCAACATCTGAATTGTTAAGAGATGATGCCTCATTTGTTGGTCTGAATCTTGGGTACTTGTACGGGTATATATGGGACTAGTGGGAAAATGTGGGGTATGGAGTACTGTAACAACCAAAGGGCATCTGCAGTTTATCAGCTAAGCGAGACGGTGAAAAGGGGAGCTTTCTAGCACGATGTTTCCTGTCTTGAAGTCTTTGTTTTGTTGGTTCTAACGACAATAGATGCCGCCGAATACTCGGAAGTCGTCAAAATTTGAGGGATATCTGGAGAAGGTTATGCAAAGATGACGAGTTCGTTAAGAAAGAGCCTGTGGAATGTTTGTATTGGATTCTTTTTGTTACATGAGGATTTTGGACTCTGTTACCTCTCTTTTTTTTTAAAGATATGGAGTATTTGACTCTGGGAGTGTATTGATGTCGGACTCCGTACGCAATGCAGTCGCTTGTCATGATTCTCAGGTGGCTATAGCGTCAACTTGGTGAAACGACTCGGATGCGGGGTTGAAGCTATCGCCATACGCATACTCGAGTATTAGTCCTGTTCTTCCTCTTTCTGAAGTCTCCGTCGTACTTATAGTGTATAAATTCATAAGTGAGCTTCAGGGAACTGAATAATGGAAACAGTGGCATAACCAGCCGTTTCTAGATGTTCAATTGATTGAGAGGAGGAATTGGGTGGTGATGCTACTTGATGTTGTTTCACTGAATGCGGAGTACAGGCATGCTAAGGCCGGGTTACAGCCACAGCTTCAACGTTCAGAGTGGGGTATTGTCAGCCGAGACCGGACAGCTTCACGCATCTTCCAGCAAGATTTTCCTATCATTTTTTCTTTCGTGAAGAAGTGGATTTTTCCCAAGTTCCAATCTCTTATTATTATTCACTACTCCGGCCGTTTTGGGAGGTCAATTGCATTCGTACACATTATTCGTTACATCCTCTCGCCCTTTCATCCTCCCGAAGGCAGGCGTGTTGCAAAGTGGCGGCTAAAGCGTAACCCCTCATTCAGCAAGATCCTCGTGCCAATTCATCTACTTAGTACAGTAAATTTACGAGTACTTCCCGTCCCCCACACTTGCACTTGCACCTGCACTTTCCCCAGCCCAGCCCAGGTCCCAGGCACATCGTTGACCTCGGTCAAACCTTCTAGCCACCGGAAAACCACCACAGCAGCTGCTTCGCTCCTTCCTCCCCAGCAGAACTCCATACCCGCGTCGCAACTGCCTCCTACAAATTCTCGTGCTGTGCTTTGCTTTGCTGCGCTCATAAGGTGAGCTTTGCCCAGCGCCGCTGCCACCATGAATGCCACTCGCATTTCGCTCTCTTCCCTCTCTCGCTCCGCCTTCCTCAGACCTTCAAACTCCTTCGTCGCATCCTCGGTCTCACGCAAGTCGGCCAGCTTCGGTCCAGCATTAGTACACAGCAGACGCACCATGGCGAGCTTCAACAAGATCAAGGTCAAGAACCCAGTGGTGGAATTGGATGGAGATGAGATGACTAGAATTATCTGGAAGGACATCAAGGACAAATTCATCCACCCATATCTTGACATCGACTTGAAGTACTATGATTTGGGCTTGGAGTACAGAGATCAGACCAATGATCAGGTCACAATCGACTCGGCTGAGGCAATTAAGAAGTACAGCGTGGGTGTGAAGTGTGCTACGATTACTCCAGACGAGGCCAGAGTCGACGAATTTAAGTTGAAGCAGAGTATGTTTTTCTAGCCCTTGCGCCATGGCGCCAGAAATCTATCTTATGCGGGGTCCCTCGGCTAACAACATTGCGTATAGTGTGGTTATCTCCTAATGGCACAATTAGAAATGCCCTTGGCGGAACCGTTTTTAGAGAACCCATCGTTATTCCTCGTATTCCACGACTTGTACCGGGCTGGAAGAAGCCCATTATCATCGGTCGCCACGCATTTGGAGATCAATACCGCGCAAAGGACAAGGTGATCACTGGAAAGGGCAAGCTCTCTATGGTTTTCACCCCCGAGGGAGGTAAGCCAGAAGAGATTGAGGTCTTCGAGTTCAAGAATGGTGGTGGTGTTGCGCAGACGCAGTACAACACCGACGAGTCTATTGAAGGTTTTGCGCATGCTAGTTTCAAATTGGCCTTGAGCAAGAGCCTTCCTCTATATATGAGCACCAAGAACACCATCCTGAAGAAATATGATGGTCGATTCAAGGATATCTTCCAGGAAACCTTTGAGAAGCATTACCAGAAGGAATTTGATGCTAAGAAGATCTGGTATGAGCATCGCTTGATCGATGATATGGTTGCTCAGATGATGAAGAGCTCAGGTGGTTATATTATGGCTTTGAAGAGTAGGCCTTCTTCTATATACCCAATTTGATTGAAATGCTGACAAAATTTAGACTACGATGGTGATGTTCAATCCGATATTGTAGCACAAGGATTTGGTTCTCTCGGTCTCATGACCAGTGTCCTGATCACTCCAGATGGAAAGACATTTGAGTCTGAAGCCGCCCACGGCACTGTCACTCGCCATTACCGCGAGCACCAAAAGGGCAATGAAACCTCAACTAATCCAATTGCCTCAATCTTTGCCTGGACCCGTGGACTGATCCAACGTGGAACTTTGGATGAAACACCAGAGGTTGTTGCTTTCGCCGAGAGTTTGGAGCAGGCATGCATCGATACCGTAGACATCGATGGAATCATGACCAAGGATCTCGCTCTTGCATGTGGGAAGACCGGACGTGAGGACTATGTTACGACAACAGAGTACTTGAACGCCGTTGAGAGAAGAATGAAGAGCTTGTTGAAGACAAAGTTGTAAATGAACTTGCTTCAGCAAACTCTCATATCACGTCCTAATCGTCAAGTCGGGTTTACCAAGTCCATTGGATGAGGGACTCCCAAATTTCGAGCCCTGGATTTTTGAATAACACCATCGGAATTTATTTTACGGCCTCTGTTGATGGGTATGATGCAGCGATTGGATTTTCGACCACTTGTCTTCTTTTTGTATAGCGCATTGCATTGCATGGTGTGGCATGGTTTCCCCATCATCATTACAGTACGGTAGGATACAGATTTGCGTATTCAGTCAGTTGTCTTCTCTGCGAGAAAGATTTGGCATTTGTACTCGTACATAGAAAGTGCATTTACAGAGATCTTGGTGAAGGGAGAGGAGAGGAGAGGAGAGCTTTGTTATTGAATATCATGACATCTTTATGAAAATGAGTTGCTTACGGAGTTGTGATTTCTCAGTAGATGCGTATTCTGTTATGACACTTGTGACTTTTTCACCTAGCTAGAGAGGTTGACTTGAGGATGGGCAATTCAGCTGTGTTTTGAGATGATTGCTTTGGTTTGCTTGAAAGCTTTGAGTAAAATACCAATTGGTCGGGAATATCCAGACTCTGAATAACTGGGAATAATTTTATTAAGATTGTTAGCTATCTACTCGAGTCTACTCGAGTTTACTCCGTAGGTGCTCGAGTAGGTACCTAGGTAGCGTGCCTAGTTACCTATCAAGTACATATGGGGGCTGGCGGGGGAGTGAAGAAAAGACCCACGATAAAAAGTTACGGAGCACAGGGCAACCAGCGACCAATCGGCGCGATAGGTAACTACCCCTCCCCCTCCTCGTCCCCCACCAGAGCTTGAACTCTTCGCGAAGTTTCTAGAGCACAGGGCTGAGCAACTCTCAACCACTCCACTCACACCACTTTCAAACCACCCAACCACTCCATCCCTCCATCCACCTGCAGTACCTCGTCCACCGATCCACATCACATCGGCCCCCCTCCCCTCTACGAAACCCTTTAAATAGGCCGTGCGCCCACCCAGCCGTCAAAATGCCTCTCTCCGAAGTGCAACGGACGCAGATTTTGGAAAAGATGGTGAAAGAAGGTCGGGAAAAGGTGTTCTTCAACATCCAGATCGGCAAGAAGGACGAGGGTCGCGTTATTTTTGAGCTCTACAATGATGTCGTGCCCAAGACGGCCGAGAACTTTCGCGCGCTCTGCACGGGCGAGATGGGCGTGGGGAAGAGTGGGAAGCCGTTGCATTATAAGGGCAGTACCTTCCATCGGATCATCAAGCAGTTTATGATTCAGGGAGGCGATTTCACGATGGGCAATGGCACGGGGGGAGAGAGCATTTATGGTGCGAAGTTTGGGGATGAGAATTTTAAGATTAAGCATGAGAAGCCTTTTTTGCTTTCGATGGCTAATGCTGGACCTGGTATGTTTACTCCCCTTCTCTCTCTGATTTTCTTCTTCTTCTTTTCTCTGGATAGCTTCAGTTTTGGCAGATTTACATGGCAAGGCGGGAAAGGGATGGACTAATCAGAGACAACAGGCACAAACGGCTCCCAATTCTTCGTCACCACCGTCCCAACCCCCCATCTCGACGGAAAACACGTCGTCTTCGGCGAAGTCATCTCCGGAAAATCCATCATCCGCAAGATCGAGAGCCAACCCACCCAAGCCGGCGACAAGCCCAACAAAGACGTAACCATCACCGACTGCGGCGAGCTCACACAAGAAGAAGCCGCCCTCGCAGCCGAAACCAAAGTCGCAGACGCCACCGGCGACGAATATGCAGACTTCCCAGAAGACCTCATCAAGTCGCCCACGCCCGCGGAGATCGTCAAGATGGCCACTGACATCAAAGGCTACGGAAACAAGGCCTTCCTGGAACTCAAGAACCTCCCTCTCGGCTTGGAGAAATACCAAAAGGGTCTCCGATACCTGAACGAGGATATGGGCGAGGAGAAACCGCCGTTGAAGGTCAAGCTCGACCTCGAGAACCTGCGGTACGTCCTGAACTCCAACTCAGCGCTGCTGTGCAACAAGATGCAAGAATGGGCCGACGGCAAACGCTTCGCGACCGCGGCGCTCGAGGCTTCGGAAGATCTCAGCGGCCCCGAGGAATGCAAGGTGCTCTTCCGTCGGGCGATTGCCGAGTTGGCGTTGAAGGAGGAGGATGCCGCGCTGGAGGATCTGGAGCGTGCGAATGATCTGGTTCCTGGGGATGCGGCGGTCGTCAAGCAGCTGAATACCGTCAAGAAGGACATCGCGGAGCGGAAGAAGAAGGAGAAGGCTGCTTATAGTAAGTTCTTTAAGTGAAAAGAAAAAAAGGGGGTGGGGGAGGTAGGTATGTGAGGAATGCATCTATCTGATGATAAAGGGATGGATGAGGTGATGGATGGGTGGGTGTTTTACGAATTTACGAGTTCCTTCATGCGATTGAACGACCGCTGGTGGTGAAAAGCAATAAAAATTAAATGATGATCCTGGCAGGCATATACAATGGATATGCTTTCCTTTGTTCCTTGGTGCGTTGGTGCGTGGGTGCGTTTAATTTGCAGATATCATTCATAATGAAAAAGCAATGAAAGACATGCGAATCAACAGTCAGAATATAAAACAAGATCTTTTAGAAGTATTTTCATCTCAATTCCTACGAGTTCACGAAGATACTGTAGGAGAATTTCTACTGTACTGCATTTATATATAATTGTATTATGATTTGTATTGTAAATATAAATCCCATTCATTGATTGATCTTTGTTCCCTGGGGAAAAAAACATCGCTGCCCATCCATCCATCCATTCACCCATCCAGACGGAAACTGTGTCAACTGTAACTGTAGCTGTAAAACTGTAACAAAAGTGGTATTTGGTTTTGCAAAAGAAGTATAAAAAGCAGACGAAAAACGCAAAGGAAGATGAAAGAAAAAAGAAAACTCCACGCACACTCTACTCTATACCCCCTCCCCATGAATTCCCAGTTTGAAATTGGGATTGAGGGGTTTCCAAATGAAATGTTCTATCCAATGATAGATAGAGTAGGAGATGGAACTTCCGTTCTTTGGATATGATAGAGAAAGAAGAGAGAAAAAAAGCGCAAATCTTGTAACGCAAAACGCAAACGTAAACGCTGACCACACCACCCATCCATCCATTTCTCCCAAAGCAACGCGCAAGAAAAAGAGAGAAAAAGAAGAAATTGTCCCGCTCCAAACAGAAAACATTGTATCCAGACCATACCCCACCAAACCCCAACTTCGCCTCTTCGCTATCTATGCAAGAAAGAAAAAAAGCAGGAAAAAGCAGAAACAGCAAAAAAGGCCAATCAAAAAAACCACCCCCATCCTCTGCCCGTTCCCATGTCCCCCGAAGGAAAGTCCAAAATAAGGAATCCTTAAATCATGCCGCCAATTCCCCAAGGAGATCCCACCTTAACGGGATGATCCATGCCCTCCGCCAACGACGTACTTCGTTGCGTCTTATTGCTATTCTTGATAATCGTATCGGGATCCCTCATCGTGGTCTCCTTGGTCGTTTTCCTTCTCAGGCCGCTGAGGAAACTCCTCGTTGGTTTCCCGTTGCCGTGGCCGTTGCTACTTCGTACTCTGGTTGGTGGAGATACCTGCGTGTTGTTATCCATGTTAGGATCATAGGATTTGTTCCTATCTCTTCCGAAGGTTGAGTCCCAGAAACTTTGGCGGTCACGGCGATCTTTCTCTCGTTCTTTGCCGTTGGGTTCGCTGCCTGATGACCCGGGAGGTCGACCTGCTGAAATGGTTGTGGTGAACTCAGACCATGGTGGGCTTTGAAGAGGCTCATCGTCAGAATCTTGGTCCGAATGAGGGTAACGCGTGAGACCTGCGTCGTCATCAAGACCTGCTTCTTCTAGTCTGTCGACCAAGTCATCCCATGGAGAAATTTGATCGGGGCTAGCAGAATTCTCTGCCCTCAAAAGGCACTCGTTAGCTCGCCTCTGAAGGTTAAGACATTGTTGATGGAATTCGGCTAGGTCGCCTTCAAGTGCACCGGGAAGCATGCGGGGCGAAGCTGTGTCAAGCCATAACTTTACCAAGGCAGCAAAGTTACGAGCATGGTCGATGAGATATGGAAGAGATGGGAATCCTTCTCTTGATGCTGGTGGTAATCGAGCCAGGATTGTTATAGGCGTTGAATATGAGGCAGGCAGGGCAAACTTGTTGCGTTCCCCAGAAACCGAACACACTTCATCAATGTAGGCTTTCACTTCTTGGCGATGGCCAGTCAGGAAGCGATTCATGGGTTCCATCCATTCCTCTTTCTGACCAAATGTGCTCAGATTGGCAAGTGCTTGCAAACTTTTCGCAATCAACGTCAATGTACGCTGTGCTTTTGGTTGTGGGTGGTCTCGCAAGAGGCCGAATAGTTTTGGATTCAACAACGCGGGACAGAGAAACCGCAGGAAGAGAAAGCCAGAGACACTTGTATATGTTACTGTGCGAAAAAAGTCCCCATATCGATCCTCGGCAACAGCTCGTATATATTTCAAAGCTTGGCGAAGTTCGACCGGGCAACGCGATGCCGACGATGCTATATTGCTCCAGATATCCGTAGTCAAAGCAATCAACAGAGACCAGTTCTTATTCGCGTCGTCACCAGTTCCAAGACGGGATGGATCCACCTCACAATCAGCGTTAAGGTTATTGATGTGTAAAATCTTCTCGGCCAAAAGCTCTTCAAGATACTCTTTGCCTAGTCGCCTCATGTGGAAATCCATTGCCTGGGTAAAAAGTGAGCTTCCTCGAAAAAGAAGATTGGCTTCACCTTGCAACGTCTTTCCAATGTCTCTCACTGTCTGTTCCCGTTCACCGGTGGAATTAAATGACTCATTTGATCCCATACGTTTGCTCCATCGCAGTCTTCGAGCAGGCGAATCTTTGCCGACACCATCAATTTCATCCTCAACAAGAGCCATGAGCCAATCCGAGGCGTGACCAGAAACTTGAAAGATGTTCATCAATATTTCTGATAAGCCTCGTAAATTAGTGGCCATGATCTGAGCAATCTGGTCGGTCAAACCAGTGCCAAAATTATGCAAAATCGTAGATATAGGCTCATAGTCCTTAGCAAGAAGGACAACCAGTTCGTCATAGCGGATCTTAAGAAATATCTCCCCAATTGGTTCTTGTAAGGGATCGAGCATTGGCCACCAGACTTCGTTATCTTTCCCCCGCTCAAGTTTCTCGGCTGGTATATCAACCGTCCCACATAATATCTCATTTGCTTGGTTAGGACCATGGAGACTGCTTGACAAGAAGCCGTACTGCTGCTGCACTGGGTTTCCTACCCTTTTTAATACAATCATGAGCCTTGGTGAGGTCGCCGGAAGATCTTGAAACTCATAGTCTTCGCGCCAGAAAGGATTTCGGGTCTCGTTTCTCGTTAACGTTCGTGCTCGAACTTCCCCATCCAGCAACACCTCAGCAAAGTACTGGCCCACGGAAGGATCTTGGTCTTTCGTGGGTTGCTTTCCGGTGTGAATTATATCTGTCCTAGACACACTTCTTCGTATTTTGGCTTCCACTATTCGTAATTTCAATGACTTCTCAATTCGAAACATATCTTCGGTTGAACGCAGACTGGATGCAATAAAACCGTTAGAGTTGTTTGGCCGCTCAGGTCCATAAATATCTGGGATCGAAAATGCAATCAATAGACAGAACCACACTTCGAACAAAAGGCGTGATTCCAAAGCGATATAAACTGGCCGGAATATGGACAGCTGATTAGAAGATGAGGTGTATCGTGGGTATATAGCAATGCAATATTCCTGATCTAAAACCGATTTATCTAATCGCTGTATTGCGCATCTTGACAGCTGTGAAAGTTGTATGATCGATAAGAGCGTGGAATCACTCTCAGTTAAGAGTTTAAATTCTCCATTATCCTGGAGAATACAAGATACTCTTCTCCAAACGCGAATCTGCGATTTGAGGTCCCGTGTTGACGGTCGTCTCACAATCGCTCTTGGGGATGTGGGTGAGCCTTTGTCCCAAAGAAGGCACTTCGCAACTTTGATAATATTTCCCTCCCTTGCCTGCCCCGAAAGTGGCGACAGAGGATAATTGTGAAGCGAGTTCCGTTTTGAAGTTTCCGGCATACGGTTCACTGGCGGTGCGGGCCTGGTTGGAGCAGCAGGAAGTGTTCCGGTCCGGACCTGTTGCCAACAGAGAAGGGCGGCTAGCCACAAGTCGTATTCTGCTTTCGCGGTAGGCATCAAGTGGAGCTCCAGACCCTGTGACTTGTTCGATATCTCGAGGCACCTCGCTTTTCGATCCGCTGACACGATTGGACGAATACAGCATCCTCGGAGATCTGAAATGACGGTAAGATGGAATGGTCCGTTATCCTCTCCCTCATACATCAAGGTTCCCTTGGCGTCGTCTATGTAGCAGATTCCAGAATACCATGTTCCGGATTCATATGTCTGGTACTCGACCTCTCCTCTCATACGGCCGCACAGCGTCTTCATTAACATTAGAATTTTATTTGCATCTCCCGTGGCGATTGGGAAAGGAAGAGAGTCCACTGATGGGGCATCACTCATTGCAGAAAGTGGCGAGGTAGGGCGAGAGGTTCGTTTGACAAGACGTCGACCACTCTTGACACTTTTGACCGAGTTTGACTTCTGGAGAGGTGCGGACCGGCTGCCAGTACCAGAAGTCAAGAAACCTAAAGTTGCAGGGTCCGGAGGGGGACGAGGATCCACGCCGTGCAACGACGAAGAGTTAGTTGAGTGCACCGAGCCGATGCGGTGCCTGCTCTTCGACACACTGGTCGTCGACGTCGACCTGGTCCGCTTGTGTTCTTCGGCTGCTCCACTGGTCGTCCGAGTACGTGGCCGTGAATGAAGGCTGACTGGCGGTCCTGTGACGACGCGCTGCTCAAGTGCTTCGGCGGAATATGAATCTTCAAAGATCAGGCCTTGCCTGCGATCCCGCGGCTTCACCCCGCCGGGTATGGAGCGAGGCGATGTCTGCGTCGGCGAGTGTCCATTTTCCTCAGACCGCGCCGATGAGCCTGCAAAGGAGAATTCGTGGTCCCCTGGCTCCGGCGTCACCATCCTCGGGCTGGTGATCTTGTGGTTTGTGTTTGCTCGTTGCGCAGGCGTCGTTTGTGTCCGGGCAAGTGTTTCTGTGGCATTTCGCTGCCAGGTCTGCACACTTCCACCTACCCCATCCTTTCCAGTCCCATTATAAAGTCTACTGTCCATCCCAGCTGGCAGAATGCTCATGCGGCGCTTCTTCATCGATATGCCCTCATTCCTTGCGCAGAATACTGGTCGGTTGGTGTGCAGAAGATGCTTCCTGGCACTTCACGGCGCGCGAGAGGACAGCTGAAGGACGCGGGAAGGTGTCGACTCGTTGGTGTGTTGGTTGCAAGAGCATCTGAAAGAAAAGAAATGGTTTGTGGCCGCCGATATGGATATTCCTGCAGAGATCGTGCCCTTCGACTGCTATCCGCCGTGTTCGATCAACGTGAGCGGGTCTTTGACAACGCAGCAAAACCAATACAATGGTTTCCAGATGTCTCCCGGGTCAACTCGGTGCTTTTCTATGCTCTCCACTACACCAGGTATTGATACCAATGCACCTCAGTGTTTCCCGATGCCAGTCTCGAATCTCGACACCTTCGCATCCTCACTGCTAAAGGACAAGCTGCATGTGTTGGGCGGCGTATGTACGAATACGGAGAATGTGAAGGTCAGACGTGAGGTTGAAAGGCGCCCTGGTCGTTCGCTTTATGGTGGTCGGTAACGATAGCGAGCCTGCAGAAGATCGCTTCTGGAAGGCTTCGGCTTCGACTTCGAATGGTCTTCGAGAATGAGAGGGGTAGGGGCCAAGATGGAAAGATGGAAGAGGCAAAACTTCCACGTTGTGCATCAGTGTTGGGAGATCTTGGACTCGGGTAGGTGTCGGTACTCGTACCTGGAGTGCTGGGCTCAAGCGCTGGAGCCTCTTTTCATGGTTGGTAGCTCTTGAAGGGCGGTGGTCGGCTATCGGACCCGATATACTTTGCGCTTGGACTCTGATAGAGGTGTCAACCCGAACTAAATGACGACAAACAACAACCTCACCGCTCAGATTTATACTGCAAGTGATTATACCGGTATCAGAAGATGTTTCTGCATCGCCTCCTAAGGCAATTTAGAAGGATCATCCCTCATATGCTCCGAGTTTGATCTATCTCATGATGCGAAATATCTACAAGAACCGGATCTAGTAGTTATAATCGCAGGAACAGAAGCATCCAGAGCTCATTCATCATCTAAGAAATTATCATCGAGTCGAGTAAATTTGAATATCAAAAGTTTCCAGCCAATGGCAAATTAAGAAAGTGCTTTAGAGTATAACCTTAGTTAGTATCCTCGCTTAACTTCAAAATGGAAAACAAGCACTTTTCCGTCAAGTTTAAGTGGTTATTTCCGTTGGCGAAGTAAGTTCCAACGGTCCTTCAAAGTCAATCGAGACTACTGATGTGTCATGAAAACCAAAAACAAAAACCGAATCTGTTACTGTAGTATTTTACTCTCCCCTCTTATCCCCAACTCTATGTTATATCTGACAGCTTCATGCATAAAATATGTATGACGGAACTACCGTGCGCCTGTAAAAGAACAAATTCCACAGTTAACGTTTATTGGGGGCGGAGTAAAGTAATGCTATCTGATAAATATTCATGCAAAAATATTTCACTACTGGTTGAAAAGGTCCACAGCAAAAAAATCACTAATAAGAACAAGTGGAATGGATTACTCAACGTCTACTAAGACTAATTGTCTTAGATGTTTAGTATAATTTGTTTTCATAACTATTGATCGGATACAGAACTTTAATAACGTGTACTTGAAACGAGTTCGCTAGCCCAGTACCACCAGGTACTACTTATAGATCAACAAAACATATGGGGTTCGCTTATTTCTTCTCCACTCTCCCGAACGGAGTACTCAAAAACGCTCAGTAAATTAGATGCTCTTGTTTCGTACCTAACGCCGCAAATTTGCTAGGAGGATAACGGCCCGACCATCAAGATATGAGGTAAATGTTAGCGCTCAAAGTAGAAGCATAAAACCGATATTTCGCAGTTTTGCCTCCCAAAAAAGTCACTGGAAAGTTCTTGAAGAAGAGGAAACAAATGCCAGGATCCCAGGATGCTTTTGATGTTCTCTGCCCTGGATCATGCTAGTAATGTAAGGCATTCCATGAACTCGACGTCATTCTTTCAAAACACGGAAGCTTCTGCATACCTTCAAGGGCATTAATCAGGCCTGCTCCTGTCGAGAGTACTCGAGTACCGAGTACGGCTGTTATGTTTACTCAAAAGGTTGAGGAGGATCCTTGCGGTCGATGTTTGGCGCTTGGTCGATGATTCAGATCAGAGTCGTATACTAGACCTGCGTTATCTTACTGGTAGCTTTTCTAGAAGGATTACAGCAATGGCAGAAGAACAGTGCGTCCGGGCTGCAGTGAAGAATTCCTGCACCTATTAATGCCCCATTTTGGGGTCGCTTGTAAGATAAAAGAAACAAGTTTGGCAACTTGGTGCTTGCTGATCGCAGCCCTTGCCACCCACCTCTTGACTTGTAATGGCGACGTATATACACCTGGAGTCGAATTGGCGGAGGCTGAAAATCGCGTTATTACGGTTATCGTCGTTCGTGTATCGCGGGAAGAAACAGTTAACAATCGAGATGCCACATTTGGTCGATTTCCTTTGATTCTCCTGTCTTTTGTTTGAGCAGCCGTTTCTCCCTGAGGCTGACCAAGGAGATCAAATCGCTGTCAAGCGACCATAAGACCAAGTAAATCCGGATATAAAATTCTTTTGATGAATTTTACGCCAGAGGAAATAAGCTACATCCCGCTAGCGACCACATTCCGAGACTGTCCCACGACAAGCGCTTATATACCGATGGAATCACCGAAGCACTTTTCGGTGACCCTAGATTACGCCACCAGATGGTCTAGTTACCGAATATGTGGTCGCACTGTCCCGTTCATCACCCCAAGGCCGATCTCGACGATCCTTTTGACGATCTTTGACACCGACCAGAAACTGCACAAATGCCACGCGAGAAATTGTTCAGCAAATCCAACGTCAGACCAACCAGGGTCCAGGGCTGATGGCTAACGGCCGGAGCATTTTTTCCAGTAGTCTCAACAGTAAAAAAGCATAAAAACTAGCCTCGAGTTGCGATGGAGAATAGTTGCCATGTGCATAGCATTCGTCCGTCAAAATGGCTTCGTTGTCGTCGGTCATTTTCAATGTTTTGGCAGAATGCGTATACTGTAGGTAGACTTCCGTGATGCAATTCGTCCAAACAAATGTGCGATAGCAATTGATCCGCTACTCTTGTTGTCTTAATGTCTAAACCATGGAGAGAATATCTGGGCCTTCTGGTTTTTAATGATTGCGTCAGCTAATACCATCGACAAGAGGGCAAATTTGTAAGGTGAAACTTGCTTTATGGCTGCATGTTATCAGTGGGGTGACGATGTAGTTCGCAACAATTCTCGGACGTGGTTTTGCATAGTCCAAAACGCCGTCCTTAACTTAAGAACAGACGATTGCTGAGTCTGCCAAGGTTTGCTGATTTGTCCAACAAGCGCTAGAATGCCATTAAAAACCCAAATGCAGTGGATGTCCTTCGAAGGTGGAAACGGTTTCACTCTTTCGGAAATTCGGTATGTGAATGGGGGGCAGCCAGCTACTCTGGTCTCGCATATTTGACCCTATGGCAAGCCCGTCGCTTTTGCTTACGACGGTAAAACTCCAAAGAGACCTATTGAAGGCTTCGGCAGGTCTCTTCCTGGAAGGAGGTGTTCGTACGTCTTGTCAAGCTAGACCTGTTCCATGTAGACAGCTTCCGAGCGGGTACCTTGGTTTTCCATGGCAGACAGGAAAGCCATGCGAGAAGCAGCAACAGAGCACATACCGACAATAGCTTTCGAGGGGAAATTTCAGTTGACACTCACTGTCAGAAGGTTCATACTGAAGGCTAGGTCGGATAAGTGAGTGTATATCTAGTACTCTGAGAAAGTCTTCAGAGGGAAGGCTGCTTTTGGCAAAGCTTTAGGAAATCAGAGCTTTGGAAATAGGCTGCCTGAAGCGTATTGAGGCAAGGACTGACATATAACTGACGTACTCCCACGTACGTGGTTCTTGTTGATCGTATGTTCGTCACTCTAGCCTGACTGTTGTCATCGAGGCGGTGCATGCTTTAGGACCTGCTCTGGCGACGAAAACAATCTCAGTGCGAGGAGGAGATTTGGAAAGGAGTGTAGTCTATAGTGTAGAGTAGTGTCTGACGAGGCTCGAGATTGCTTCCATCTGTACTCGGTCCCCTGGGACCTTTTCCATGGACGGGTTGGTGCATCGCTTGCTGCGTCGCGTGGACATCAACAATGAGGTTGACTGGCTTGAAACTTGACCGCTCTATAGAGAGTTGGAGATGACTGCAGATTGCAGATTACAGGTCGAGGGTGAGGGGGAAGTCCTTCATTTTCAAGGGGGTTTGGATTTCCCTAGAAGTATGGTAGAATTGGCATGCCGAAGAAGAGCATGCGGCGGCGGAGAGCATGTCCAATGGAGAAACAAGTCCGACCGTGATGGTGTTCTGTTGATCCAGCGCCAGCACTTGCTGGGCTCAGTCGGTTGGCCTTTTCTCGCCAAACCCTCCCTGGTGCTCCCAAAATAAAGGACCAGAACTGTAGTATTAATGGTAATAACCCACCCAGCTACACACCGAGCAGAAGGAGGTGTAAGTGTATAAGAGTGCAAGTGTATAAGGGCAGCGTCGAATCTTTGGGAAAATAAACCATACACTCGTACTACCCACCAATGCTCCGGTAGTTAGGCTGTAGTTGTAGGCTACGCCGCTCCATGACCGCCGGATTAGGATGCTTTACGCTCCACCAGGCTGGGCACGTCTACCCCAGTAGTAGCGTAGCGTAGGTACTACTACCTAGGTACTAAGTAACTTTCGCCTTGACATTGACAGCAACCTAACATCAGCCCATAATTGGTCCCGACGTCTTGGTCATTCCTCGTACCTCTACCTGTACACATCCCTAACCTACGAGTACTCGGTAGTACTTCTACACCTCTCAGATTTGGGCGGAGGCCTACCCTACTCAAGTACTCGGGTACTCGAGTACTCGAGTCGTGATGCTCCTCACCCACTTGCACGCGCCATTGCTTCAGTGCCCCAAACTCCAGCGGGAAAAATATGGATCGAAGCAAACTCAACTCGCTGCACTCTTCCCTGCCACAGCTGCATCAAGCAGGTTTGTCGACATTGACGTGACAGCCACTCAACACGCCAGTCGGCATCCTAAAAAGCCCATCGCATCGCATGGCATCGCATCTGGTACCTATCTGGTAATTATAGCTGTACCGAGTGCGGCGAAGCTGTCTGATCTGGATGGTCGGGCATCGTGCAGACCAGGCCGGAGAAACCACTCACCGATTGCAGCCATGAGGAGTTTTATCGTCAACCTGATTTGCCCTTTGGCGCCCAGGAAAGGTGGCTTGTGCGCGCGAATCCGTGATGGTTCGTTGAGCAACCAGTGTACCACGTTTGAGAAGAGTTGAGGTGCAGGGCTGGCCTGGATAATCAATTGACAGATGGCGAGGGACCCTGTCGTCGCCTTGTGTTTCAAAGATGCAGCATGGCAGAACAAGGCTTGCCATGGGAGACGGGATTCGCCAAACGATCATGAACCTCGAGATCCAACTAGGCCCGAAGTAGACCTCAAGGCGAGAGGAGTCGATCCCAGTCCTGGGACGGTATCGGCATCTCATTCCCGGATGAACCTGGGTTTTTCCTTCCCAGTGCTTGCGTGGGCATCGTGGAGAAAAGCGGATGGAAAGTGGAGTGAAGAGTGAGAGAGCCTGCAAGAAGCGGAGACTCCAAGTCTTCCTGCCAGATTGCCAGCCAGTGGTATTTACCAGTCAGGACTGAGGACAGGCATCAGAAATGCTAGTGTGCAGAACGAGGACTAGACCTCGCCCAGGGGCAAGAGAGAAGCACGCATGAGGATGATCACGATTCAAGCCTCAACCAAACCTCGCAAAGTCTTTGGTGTTGTCGGACAGTCAGTTGAAGGCGCCAGCAACGGTGACTGCCGGGTATGAGGGGCCTAATCTGATGATCAGGGGGGCATGGGAAACCCACAGACAAGATTCGCAAGAATGGGATCTCCGCGACTGCGAAGGGGAGTGGGAAATGGACGATAGTGATGTGCAACCGCGGACGATGTTCTGGCAGCACCATCGACACCGACAGAACTTGTGGCGTTGTTTGTGAGCGGGCGGGAGGACCCCTCCGCAATGACCGTAAAATAGGGCGAGGAGCCATGAGCATGAGGAGTACGGAGGAGTGCTCTTATAGAAGTACGAAGGACTTGGTACATGGGAAAGAGTGTCAAATTACTTCAGGTGGATAGAAGACTTATACTCTCGACGCCCGTGTTGATAGATGGTCCAGAGACGAAACGAGCCAAACCGGGTCTCCACGATATCTTGCACGGAGGAGTACCTATTAGATTTGAATATCCCATCATCAAGCTCCCCAGACAGGGTCTTCCAACGTTCGTCAGGCTCTCCTACTTGCAGCCAATCACTTCGCTCCAGCCTCCTCTAACGACTTCTTCTTCCTTGTCCCGGACGCCACCATGGTACAAGACAACAACACCACCGCTTAGAGCTGCAGCTGCCAGGACGAGTGGTAGAAAGGCTTACAGTACAGCTTCTGCAGCCGGTCCACCAAACTAGCAATCACCGAGTGCTTGTGTAATATGGTGTAGGCATTTCCTAGTCTTCGGGCCCCAGAAACCTAATGTCCCTCATCCATGCACTTCTAGCTCTTTTTTTCATGATTACAGTACTGTACAGGACTCCAGTTGCCACTGCCATTTCGGACGGGATCCACCCGTAATAACTGCAACAGTCAGCAACCCTTCTACTTCGTACAGCAGCAGGGCTGTCACTTTTATGTGACTATTTCCGGGATCTGTCAAGAGTAGTTTAATTCACCTCACCACGGTATCGACAGCGGTACACCTCTCAATATCCCGGCACCTTGAGACAATTTCCAAGCTTAATCCCGTCGTAACCTAAGCCTTTCGGAACAATTACGAATATGGATACATGCCTACCTGTCTGCGGGGTGTAATAACAAGCACCTGCACCCTGTTCCTACAAGCCTAGGCGACCTTGCACGATTAGTCTCAACCATATCCGAAGAATTTCTGACCCTCTCCTTCCTTCTCCCATTTCTACGAATCTCTGAGTGGTCCGTTTCTGCTTTCAATTCACCCTTTCTTCCCAATTCCGGTCACATCTTGTCGATCTGATTGGCACTTGAACGCTTTTAGCACGTTTCTTTGCACGCCAACCAACCACACGCATGCCAGATCGTCAATGTAGTCGAGCAGCCATCGGAGGCCACATCACATCTAGAAGCTGTCAGTCGTAGCTCTGTGATTAGCGAGCACCAAGATTGAGCTACACCGAGTCCGAGCCATCACATTGCCATACCAAAACCTGGTTTTGTCTGGAGTACTTTTATATCCCGTTTAGGTAGGTAAGGTTCATCCTTACAACCAACTCTATTAGAACGCACGGTGCCTGCTTCGAGATGACCTGGGAAATTCTACTTGCATGAGCTATTCTTTGTCTTCTACATAAAAGTCCTAATCCCCTCGCCTACATTTAATCCACCTTATACTGGTTTCATCCAACGCAGTTTATTCTTCCCAAAGCTTCATGTCGCTCTTCTAGTCTCGGGATCTTCTTTTTCGAGATGTTGCTCACTATTAAACAGCCAACACATCAAGGCTATAAGTCTTTCCATGACTACACTCCACCTACCCCACCATCCACCTCTCGTTTTTCGCCAGTCACTGCATCGACGGGCTCATTTCCTTCATTTTCTTCAAGCAATAAATCTTTACCACTCCCCTCAGGAACTCAGAGCATTACACAGCCAATGTCCACACCGCACAGGGGACTGCCACCACCGGCAGCGATGACACTGGCTCAAGCACCTCAACCACCATCTTCAATGAACCAAGCAAGTTTGAGCCATGCTCCATTGTCTCAGCCCATGGGACATTTACCTGCACCTCCTCAGCAATGGCAAGGTGCAGAAGAGTCGATGAGAGAATGGCTACATGCCAAAGCGGAAGAGGAGAAGCGGAGGCAAGAAGAAGAAAAAACGCGGCAGGAATCACTACGGTTGGAGCAACGCAAGATAGAACACGACATGCTTAAGACCTGCTTGAATAGCAATATTCCACCTCATATGGTTCCAATGGTATTTGCGGGAATGGGTGGTGGAAACTCAGCCAACGCGAGCATGGAATGGGCTCAGCACTACATGGCACAAGCGCATCAATCGCAGCAGCAACACCCGCAACAAGCACAATTACTTCCCTCCCAGCAGACTTCGCCGGAGCAGTCCCAAAGACATGAAGGCCGCGCCCATTCACAATCTTTTAGTGGGCAGCCCCAGTCCATGACTCTTCCTTCCACGCCTATAGGACCACCTGGATCGCAGCAAACGGCAGGATTTCAGCCAAGTTATCAATTATCACCAAACTCACGGTCTCGACAAATTGCTCAACCGCAAGCTACCACAAATCGCGCACCTCCTACATCTCATCTTCCCAGGCTGAATACCGGGGAGATGCATATACAACAGCCACCGCAAGGGCTCGGTATGCAGATGGTTCCAGGGTCCATAGGCCATCCGTTACAACAAACACAATCCGCACAGCAGCAAGAACCTCAATCTTCGCCTTCAATTTACTTCCATCATTGGCAGCCACCTACCTCACAAGCTGTTACCAGTAGCGGAAACCAGCCGACAACCCCTTCAGGCAAGCGTCAATAGTGTCACCGTATCATTTTTGCTTATCAACTAACGGGTGATCCAGACCCGACCTCTTCTCCCAAAAAACGGAAGGTTACTGGTCCTCAACAGCCGGCACCACCCCCAACCTCACAGCCGCAGTATACTTCTCCACCATTTTCCCAGACGAGGTCCTCCACACCCTCAAGTCGACGACGAGGCCACTCCAGGCAGAGAAGTGACTTGTCCGCTAGGGGCCTGGATTCATATGGACGCCCCTCTAGCCGCCATCGTCACACAGAAGGCAGTTTCAGTACCCAGAGTATGGCATCATCGCGGCCTACGATGCCTGCCGAACAGGGACAGCTGACACAACCACGACGGCGTTCAGGTGGCTCAAATCCAGTTTCTTCACTGCTAGAACAGAGTGATTCGCGGCCGCAATCACTGCAGTCGCAACAAAGCCACCAACGAGACCAATATTCCGCATTGCCGGAGATGAGGCACGACGAACGACACACGACACCCGAAAATGATAGTTCACGAAGACCGAAAGTTCTCAAGCGAGATGGGAGAGATTAGACGAGTTTCAGAAAGAGTTTTCCGCGCTGGGACGTTCTTGAGTGGCCCCTGCACGCGAAATGAAGAGGGGACAACAACTCATCAGCCCGCATCTGATTTTTTGATTACCTTCATCTCCACCAAAGGATCATGATATTTTTTCATCGTTGACGATATTCATATGATACCCAATTATTGCGCGATCTTAGCTGCGTTTTGTTCAATTTTTTCTCTGCCTTCGGGCGCCTTTTGCTTTGTCCCGCGGGAGGCCTGTACGTAGTACTCGGTTGAGCATGTATATTTCTTCTCATTTTTATCATGGGGGCTAGGCCCTTCATATGTATCATAGCATCAGATCTGAGTTTCTTTTGGGCTAGAACTGTTTGGAGTTGTTTGCATGTCAGATCGTCTCGCAATTATTTTCGTTTGCTTTCTGTTTGTCTACCGTTCTTCCTTGAAAGACAGCAGATATCGTTTTACCCTGTACATATTGAGATTTGGTCACTTTTTTTTCAAGCATAGTATAGGGGTCTTTCTCGGCACGGTTGGCCAATCTTTGAGGGCATCAAAGTCACAAGAAAGAGGAGGTACTGTACCAGAAGGCTTTTTTTTCTGGATAACAAAAGGACAGTACTGTATTGACAGCAAAATTGTGGGTTAGGCTGCAGTTTTACAGACTGGCCTAACAATCACAGACCGTACCAGATGGAGAGATTGTATAGGAGGGATTTGGCAAATCATTTATCCTACTGGTTGAGTGTGAGGGTTGTATCGTCGAGACCGTCTCATATAACGCGAAACTCCATCGACTGAGGAAAGAGGTAGTAAGGTTAAACTTATCAATGAAACCCTTACTCTCTGCATGCTCCATCGGTACAACATGGCCTTCTACTAAAGCTTGAAGTCTCAAGCATCTGGGATACCACCTTGGGAATTGAAACATGACTCCCTTCACCGGAGAATTTTCACATGTGTGTGTTGGAGACAATTACGTCTTGCCTCATCCGAGCATGAGAATCCTTGAATTCGACAGACATACGGAATTTTTTTTTGTTTCAGCAGCTTGTGTATATTTCTCCCAATCTATAAATTTATCCGAAATTTAAATCTCCCCAATATGTAAGTAGATACGTACTTTGACTCTACGGAACCAGGGTCATTGATGCTATTGGGAAGTATACGCAGTACTCGCGCCACTAAAAAGTATAATATATGCTATCTACAAGGCCCCCCATCCTGCTGACAATGTCCATTGATTCCATTCCCGGTACGCGTATAAAGTACCTGTACTTCCAGTAAGAATTTTAAGATTATGAAGCCAAAGTCTCTGAACAAGGGCCTCCCCTAATTGGGAAATCCCCCACGGACTCTTTTCCACGAGGGGTTTCCGTTTTCTGCCCCTCCCGCTCCCGCTGTCCCGGGGAAATTTGTTAGCCTTTTTCCCTTTTTTCTTCATGAACGTGCTTTAAGGTTGCCGGGTTCTCTCGACCGGATTCGGAGGATTTGCAAAGGGGCAACGGCGCTTTCGGGTTGCTTTTGTGGAGCGGCGTTCCTTTTTCGGGGTTTGTGTCAAACGAGATGATGGAGTTTATCCAGCGGGCCGTTTGGAGATCGGAGGAGATGGAAGGAATGGGGGGTTGGGGTTGTTTTTTCTTCATCACTACGGACTCCCACCGTGACTCGAAAGTCCAACGGGAAATCACACGATGGGTGAGGAATTGGGAAGGTAAACAACGACGTGATTTGATTTTTGATTTTTTTTTTCGATTGCCCCGCAGGAAGGGCGAGACGAGGTGAGGTGGTGGTGTGTCAAAAGAGGACAGCATCGATTCCCCACGGGAGAGATTTGATGACGACGTTTCCAATCTCTAATCTGTGTGCACAATCTTACGGTTGCAATCTGTGTAATCTTGAACTTGAAACGTATGTCCGTGCTGCTGTACATGTGTGGGTGCAGAAGAGCCAAGGGATGGTAAATCTGACAGAATCTTTTTGGACGGGGTGGGGATGTGGGTGGCCCTGGAGATCTCTGGGGATACCCTTGTTCCGTTTACCTCTCTCGCGATAATTTTCGATGGTGGACTCTGTGAAGGGTTTGGTTTGTCTTTTCGCGAATTGAATCGGGAAATCTGTGAGGTTGGGTATGGGATTTTGGGGTTTGGATTTTGGATTTTTCCTTCTAGGCAGCCGCTTGATTAGATGTTTTTAGCTCAACGGCCATTGTACGAATCTGATGACATTAGCTTTTCGTGGATCGTCTAGAAGATGAAGCCGAAATCGGCATGCGCTCGGAAATCTGGTTCCAGAGTATGGGCATCGGATGACATACATCTTTGCGCTTGCCGAGATCCAGATAGCTTTTCTTCATTCAATTGAAGATGTACTTGTCATACTTGGAAGACGTGCCGAGCATGTGTATTGTCGGATGTTGTGTTTTGTTACATCTTGTCGTACTGATATTTTCAAGTGATTTGAATCAGTCGATGGGAATAGAATATATCAAATCTTAAGTTGTATATAATAACATTTGCTGCTTGAAATATGGCTTTCTTTTATACAAATTGAGATGAGGGGCAAAAGAGCAATTTCAATCTCCATTTCCGTACAACTCGTTTGTAACAAATACATGGAAATACTGCAATATAATTCTTGAGTGGTGGATGAGCGCAAGTGAGCCTGTATACACAACATCTACTAACACGACGGAAAAGGTAAAAGCTTCCTCGCAACCGCAAGCGAAGTACTACCACAGCACTGAACCAGAGGTCGCTCCAACTCTTACGGATCTCGCCAGGAATAAAAAGGTTGTGGTGGTGGTTGTGGTTGTGCAACCCACCCAACCCGCCACCACACACGACTCAACCAGGAGTTAGAGTCGTATTCTGGGGTCTCTCCGTGATATCCGTATGCACCTCACTCTGGCAATGTCAACCAGGTCTCGAGTGCGTCCTAATCCGTTCATACGCAGCGTTTCATGTATAAGCCAGTTCGTCCGAATTCATCTTGCCTCTCATTCCCGTTCCTGGTCGGCCAACTTTAATGAGAAGCAGGTACCATGTTTTGTGGGAGAATTATTTGAAGAGGCAACGATGCGCAGTAAGGCTGCAGCGAACTCGTGGAGAGTTGGCATTAGCCTGGATTTGTTGTGGTGAAGTCGGTTATCTGGGAAAAGGGAGGGGTGATGACACTTCCAGATGTTATGTTTTGTGGTACGCTTGTGAGAGTCAGAGTTTGAAAGAAGAGGGAACCTGGAGGCTGGATTTTGATGCAAGTCATCTTTGGCCATTGTCACAAGCCGGAATGGGAATGCTACAGTAGGTATCGGCTCGTAAATTACTAACAAGCGAATGTTGGATGACCTGCAGAAACTGACAAGGGGGCTGGTTGGTTGAAATGCGGGGTTGGTCTACGAAAACAGGAGGGACTTGCGAATCTAGCTACAGTAGCTTGAGATTCAAAAATAAAAAATAAAAAAAACTTTTATTACATAGGATGTCAACCCCACACGAGGGAAATTGTTGACTGATCTCTTACAGCACTGAGCGTTGTTCTTGCTTTGACTAATTCTCCATGTTCAATACTCCCAAACTTTTAGCAAAAGCATGCCCGATTACATGTCATCTTACGGAGGTAGTCCCATTCAATATTCACGGAAAAGACTTCGCAAGCATTTAGGTAGTAGCTACAGTTGGCGAAAAGTTAATATATCGATCATGCTTTCAGCTGGACCCAAAACGCGGTATTTTAGGCAATCAAGATGACACAGGTTGGTTATGGCGTAATATCAATATCTTACAAACAGAGCCAGCGAGCACGATTTCAGCAGTAGTCACACAACTTGACAATTGAGTGGTACAAATTGCGTAGCTAAGAGATTTCTTTAGTAACAAACGTCTGGAAAGCATGAGTTGAAATTCTGAAGAGGTAACAAGAATACCCCGTCCCTTGTGCCTGTGATTAAATGGCTAGGCATGACTCCAACGTAGAGGTTCACATTCAATGTTCTGCACATACGGCAATCAATAGGTAGCCAAAGATCCTGTAATGTTTGCAATTCAATAGAAATCTAAGCTTGTACCGTAGAGCGCATCTAAGAGGGGGAAAGCTGCAGTTCTATAATCTTACCCGAAAATATACTCTCACATCTTGTTAGTTAAGTTCATTTGAATCAAGCCATCCGTTCAAAACCCAACGTTTACGACAATGTGGTCTGAATGTGAAATGCCGAAGTCAACACAATCAGTCGGCTTAGCTTCATGGGAAAGTTACCAAGATATGGAACCAAATTAAAGAAGGGGAACTAAAACCGGCATTATAGGAATAGTAGAATTTCAAAAGCTAATGAAATGTCATACAATTATAAAAATGTAGATAAAAAACAGTTCAAGTCTTTCTTGGAATATCAGGTCAGTGCTGTGGTGGCGGCTGGCAGTCAAGTTACAAACGATTTGCTGCCACCCGTTGACAAAGAGCAGTCAAAGGCTCTCTTGGGACAACAATCCTAAGGTAATACAGACAGCGAAAGTATCAAAAGCTTCATGAGCACAACTTTCTTCAGAAAAGGATCAGGAGTAGTGTAAGGTTGTTGATTGCAGCAGGTGTGGTATTGGCTACCCACGCTCTCCATTCCCCGCTATTTATTTTCGAAGGCCAAATATCGTAAATCCCAAATACTATGGAGAGGGTGAGGGAGTAGTATTGGGGGATGAGGTTATACCTAGGCAGGTACTAAGGTGGACAGCATCGCGCCTTCCTCCTATGCATCCTCTGGTCTTGACATTGAGTATGGGAGACTCAGTATCAAGTGGAAAGGTTGAGGTGGTGAGGGGAGAAGAACGCCTGATCTTATTGCCTTGGTTGGAGTTTGAATTTCTAGTCGTTAGGAGGGAGCGACTTCGACTTTCTTGCCAACTCGCCAACTCGTCTACTTGTACCTCAGTACCGAACACCTCAGTTACCAATCAAGTCTGCGAAGATAGTGTCGAGTTGAGACACTTGAACCCAACTCGACCTTGACTTGCTTCTCTGTCTGAACGCGGAGGTCATTGGCGCTCTGTCTCAACTTTCGGGTCTGCTCCTGCCCTCGTCTCGACTTGTCTTCGTCCCCAACACAAGCTTAGACCTCTGCATTCGAGGCTCTTACTTGGCAAGAGAAGCAGAGAGAGTAGAGTAAGTGTTTTAATCTAATTACCTCTGAGAAATTTACCAGCTCAGTCACCCTTACAAGATCCAACCAGTACTCACTTGCCATAATTGAAGTGGTCAATTTATCGAACTTTCTATGTCTCTGTATTGTGTCTGCTTCTACATACATACTTCTTAACTACATTTTATGTGTCATGTTTGAGAACATAAAGGTAGCTACTTTCTGTATATCATCAGAGACGCACTCTACTCTCTCTGCTCAATTTGTTATACATCGCCAATTCGAACGTTTCGTTCAAGGCAATGCTAACTAGATCAGTGGTTGGCACAAGCGAGCTGGCATAAACTCCACACAGGCCTGAGGTTCTATCAGCCCACCAATAATGGTTAGGTACTCCTTTCCAAAACATAGTTCCAGCTCTCCGACTAACTCTAAGACCTCCAACATCTTCCAAACAAATCATTCCCCCACCCAATCCAAAGCTAATCTGACTTCCCATAGGCATTGAGATTGAGGCCATGTCATTTGAGCCTTTCATCTTCGTGAGCTCCTGCAAGTGCTTTCGAGAAGAGTCGCTCATTTGTGGTCTGAATAGCTCATCGATACTCTCTTGTTTGAGAAGCTTGCCATCTCCGGCGGTGATGCTGTGCAATAGCTTGATAAATTCGGTTGCTCTTCCCTGTTACCAAGAGTGAGTCACCTTCTCCATGTCGTACCGAAAGGAGCACTGAAAACGAAGGGGAACCTGAGATCAAAAACCTACAAATAGTCCAGCACCGCCAGAATAGTCATTGTCCTTTGATTGCCAGAAGTTTTTCTTCCAAATGATCTTACCAAACGGATCCTTGACTGTACCGAACTTGTTTTTTCCTCCCACGCAAGTGCTTAGATCGGCAAGTGAAGACATGATTTCTGGGTGCATCTCCGGATGGAACGTCATGCTCGTAATACCTAGTGATTTCCAAATGAATGCCTTCATGTACTCCTCCAAGTTCAGAGATGTTGCACTGGAGTCGCGAATTAGCAGATACTCGAAGAGTAGATATAAAGCAAATACCGTTCAACCATGAAACCGGCCCATTCAAATCCAGCTACGGAAATTAGCCCTTGTAACATTCAGGCACCGCACAAATTTGGTTATCTCACTTGAGTAAAGGTACTTCTCGCCTGGCTCAAAAACAAGTGGTGTGAGACAGCGATGATGCAAAGACTTGATCAAGAGACCTGTAGGTTCTCCGCGAGACTTTCTCCAGCGAACCAGATCTGGGTTGAGATGGTCGTAATGAAAGCCTGAAGTGTGGGAGAGCAAGTGTCTGATATCCATCAGCTGTAAGCACAAATCATCTCAGAGTATGGACAAACCGAAGAGTAATTGACTTTGTTGCCTTGACCAAGATGGGCTTTCCAGTTCCTTCATCAAATCCTCTCAATATCTCAATGTCCTCAAGCTCTGGCAGCAAACGGGTGACATCCTCATCAAGAGTAAAGAGACCTTGCTCCACGCATTGCATGATAGCAACAGCAGTGAAAACCTTTGTGCAGGATGCAAGGTAGAAGACGTTGTTGACGGTCATGGGCTCTGGGGTCTGACCTTCCTTCAAAGATCGGACACCAAACGCCTTCTCATAATAAAGACCGCCTGTAAGCTGTCAGCGCATTTGGCTTTTGACTAGAAAACATCAAGAACGATCTCATATTTACCTGTTGCGCTACTTGCGGCCAATACCACACCAGGTACATCCACGGCCTGTGTGGCAGATCTAATAATCTCCTCAAGCTGGTCCATTGTGGTGGTGTTCTAGTACCTCGAAGTACTTTGAATTGGATCGGAACTGAGCCTGAGCTCAATCCAAAACTTTATACACCTCACGATGCGCCGCCCGTGTTGCTGCCCTAGCCTTTGTCTTGGCGCTCTCCTAAAAGGGTAGTCGGTATGTTCCGTAAAAATAGAGTCTTCCACATGATTCTATGAGCCTAAGCACTTAAAGAAACTATGGTGAAACCTAGTTGTAAGAAAGAAATTGACACTCTTGCGCTCCCATTTTATATTTTATAAAAGTCACACATAAAATCACATATAAACCCAAATACAAAATCACAGATCAATGCCTTCATAGGAGTTCAACACAGCAATTTTTGAGCTGGTGTCGTTGACCTTTCACCAAAGGAATTCATCTGATAGTCCACATATACCATCTTCAAATCTCGCTTATCTGGTGGCGCATAGCACGTGCGTATTGTTGAAATTATCGACACTTCAAACAATGGTGCAATCGGTTTTGGACCAATTGCATGGCGCATGTATACAGGATTTTCTTAACTTGAAGCTTTTTTGGGAACCAGAAGCTCCTGATTAGGTCGTTTGCATCTACGATCTAATATTTCCTAGATCTTCTCTCCTCGGAGATCGCACTGCAGAGTAGTGACGTTGAATGAAACAAGCTTGTGCGACTTTTTCTTTTGACTTCCAATCATTTTTATCCCTTCCAGAGAAACACAAAAAACAACATACACGTAAAGCGGATATAAGTGGATGCGATCACTGGGTCCCACGGAGGGTCAAATACTTAGAAAAGTAACTGGGTTGGCCAAGCAACTTTGCTTTGTGGAGAAGATGTTGGAAAAGTGAATACTTTACTCCACTTTGCGTGCAAATGCTATTTTGTGTCTATATACTTTAGAAGGTATATGTCTGTCAGATTATCACTAGGAGTGTACAAGGACTATTCCAGAATAAGGTGGCGATATATCGCAAGGGAGAAGAGATCTGAAGGCAGGCTATAATTATATTCAACAGGAGCTGAGCTCATTCCTGATTAGGAAAATTCCTACCCCGCACTGTTATTCACTAAGCGATATGTACTTGTTCCTCCATGCCCTCACAATGTTCAACCTTCACTTAGGTAGATTGAGCCAAAGGAGTACACAATCCACCCTTGAAAATCTTCCATGTAATCTTATCGTCCCTTTACAAAAGTGGTAGGATTCTAGTATGTCTACTGGTGTATAACAGAGTACTTTGAAAGGTGTTTTGTATGTGAACTATCTATCTCCTTAGGTTCTGGGGTTGTGAAATGTCCTGCTACTTCTGTGAAAGGGCTGCATAGTATGCTAAGGTTATTTCATCGCCCAACGTGCAAAAGTAGATTGAAAATATAGCCTAGCAACAACCAAACCAACCCAAAGGTGTGGTGGGGCACTGCACCTGTAAGCAACCCCATGATTCACAAGTGGGAAACAATATAATAATGTGGGGGAGAACTCAATCCAACAAACACTGAACCACTTCCGCCAAGATTTATTTTTGCCTATTATTGCAAACCCCCCACGCCATCCACTGGTTCTCTGTCAATAATAGATTTCTTCACGTTGCAGCGGAGAATTTCATGGCGTGATTGCTTACATTTTAGTGGAGCGGACACGACTCGCGCCTGGCAAACAGTGAGGTACTGACTCGATTCTCGGATTTCGCGATTTGCAACAAAGATTTTGTCTGGAATTTTTGAGAAAGTTCCGTTTGTGTGTGGGGGGAGGAGCGAGTTTGAGGGGATGGTTGTGGTTATCGTGGGATCTAAGGAGTCGGAAAGGCAGTGGGGGTCCGCTGGTTTCGATGGTGTTAGACACACAGGGGTTTTGTTGCCCGTGGAAAGGGCTGACTCGATGTCCGCTATTGCGACTTGCAACAAAGAGATATTTAGATGGAGGAGCAGTAATAAGCAGACGCGGCGTAGTAGAAAATTTCTGCGTATGTACTCCGTAGATTGATGGGTGAGCGCAAATTTTCAGCAGGGAGCTGGGGGCGGCCTATCCCAATTCATACTGTCAGAGTATAATTAGTAAGTAATAAACATCTAGTAAAGGTCTCTTCACAAGAAACTCCCTACATTGGAGAAGCTTGTATTTACCATAAACTTTCTTATTGCTAGCATTTCCTTTTAATTATAAACATATGTTCCGCTTACTGGTTGGAGACCGGCTTTTTCCAGCCTATAATAAAACAGTGCTTAGTTCCCTTATATCGCCGCAGTGGCTAGGTAAATATACAATGTTTAAAGCGCCATACAATTAAGAAGAGCCCAGAAAGTCAGAACAACTAAAAAGCATTGTTACGCCAGGCTGTAGGAATAGTAGAATAAAGATATTAATAACTTCTATTTTACAGGATTGAAGTATTTTTGAGAAACAGAAGCACCTTTACTTTAAATACTGTCGATTTACACTTTCTTAATAGATCCAATAATTTAGACCCAAATTTGACTTTATGCCTTCACTTTACAAGTAGCTGTTAAAAACCATTGTTCAGTTAGGGGTTAATATAAAAAGTAAATGCTTGTCCACCGACATTCCTTTTTGTAATAGAGGGAAGAAAAGAATACCTAACAACAGTTTTTATTTACTGAATCAATGTATGTACATATTTTACACATGGATTTGATGGCTCTTCGAGTCTATGAACATCATCTCAGCACTTTGAGCTGCAATAATTTGGCTCCTATAAAGCATTTTAGTCACACAAATTCGCATTCGTTACGCCACAACCAAACAGATGCTATACAAGGATAAATACGCGCTGTATTGCACGTATCATTTTGTCGGTAAAATATGTTCTTTAGGCAATTCTTAGCAATTCTTGCTTCTTTTGATATTTGGTTTGTGGAGCTATCTGGGGCGATGTCACTGGGATTTGATTTCGCGGAAACGGAGCTAGTTAGATACAGAAGACTATCGAAATAGTGTTATTACTGGTCCTTGTTTGGATATTGATGTGGTAGCTTGTATGTCTGGGACACTTAAGGAGCTTGTCGCTGGTTGGCTTTGGAGGGTTTATTGGACCCCAAGGGTAATGAAGATTGCATGGACGAGGAAAGAAGGAGACGTTCAGTTCTTTTAGATAACGTGTAATACTTTGTGCTTTTCAACACCCTGTGAAAGAGACTCCGCATTGGCAGACCACCATTTCAACAAGCATTGATAACATGAAGATATTTATTTAGTGCACCGCAATATTAAAATCATACATGATGAACCATACATCATAAATCATACATGAGCCCAGGTATCCCATAACCCCAAATGCCGCGACGCCATAACCCAAACCCAAGTTCTGTATTTTAGTCGCTATCTTCCAATTCCGCGGCTTCCAAAACCAGTTGTTGTTTCTTGATCTCGATTTGTCTCTTCTTCTTCGCCTTCTTCTCGGCTTCCGTCAGGACCTTCTTCTTTTTCGGAACCGATTGAGCTTGTTGTTGTTGACCATTGGCTCCAAGCTATGCATGATTAGTATCAGTTACTGTTGTTGGGAATGGGGAAAAGAAAACTTACGATTGGTAACTCATCAGTAACACCCCCCACTGTTTTGAGAAGAGGGTTTGTTATGCCTCCAACAATAGGAAGACCCTTCGTCGTATCATCAACAGTATTCAAAAGCCTAAATAGCAATGAATCAGTATAGCTCGAGGTTAACAGCAGGGCACGGAATGAATTACCCTCCGAGAAGGCCCCCGTTGCTAGCCTTTCCGCTGTTGTTCCCACCGCCACCTCCTAGAAGTCCAGCCATATTTGAAATGTTTTGGCGTGAGAAAGATTTGTGTTTTGGTAGAAGCGTTTGAAGTTGCAGGAAGATGTAATTCAGATGCAATAGTTGATAAGTGGATATGAAAAGCTAAGGTAGTATTCGTTCTTACAAGGGATTATATACACCTCCCATCCTACCCCAGCATAACTACGCAATACGCAGGTATGGGCGTATGATTTCCATAATGACGTGGTCAAAACCTGTTTCCTCTCACCTGCACCTATCCCTTGTAATACCTCAATCCTTCTGTGGCTTTGGTTCGTTGCGGCGCTGAGAGAGGCTGCATATCAACCATCCATGTGAGACGATGACGTAGGTATGAAAACCACCTCGTTTATTACACCAAGAGGAAAAGGAGGAAATAGTGGAGATAGTCACGTGATATTCAGACCTCGCGTATGCGATTCAAGGTAGATTCTAGATCTTGGAAATGTATTGTCGGATCTTTTATCCGATCATACTCAAATTTGGTTTTCCTTGGGGAAAGCTAGAAGATCCCTTAATTTTGAGATCTATCTCAAATCTACCCGAAAACAACGCAAGTTCTAGCATTCTATCAGCTATCTGGCCCATTAAGCTTTTAGCGTTTCTCCTTTGCCACATCAAGTAAAAGACAATCGCGGTCAATAATTGTAGGGAAGCACTCGCCAACGCAAGCCGCTATTGCTTTTCCCCAAAAATCAGTAGGATACACTGTTCACCGAATTTCATTTAGAGACTCACAACATCAAACTGATTTTATCGAAGCTGATGACTCATTTGATGGAAGGTTGGGATTTCTCGATTACTGGAGAACAGACCCAGTACTAGAGATCCTTGACCAAGTTCCAACACGATACAAGAATGCAACCGCGACCAAAGCGATAATATGTGCCATTTCACTAATACAGATACACTTGACAACTCAGTATTGCACTGTTGTAATATTGTTGGCTCTTGAATGCTGCGTGAGTATGCACTCAGAAATAACCGCAACTGCGGCTATAGAGAGTAGCATTATAGAAGGTCGAAGGTGGACTTGTTTTGCCCAAGCATTTCTGCTGCTTTCCGCGAAGTTCTTGGTGCGAATGAAGAGTACTAAGGTTCGAGTTTCCTGGGACATCGTGCTTATAGCTAAGATAGTAGCTCTGAGATGGGCGAATAATCAAGGGCACAGACTCTTTCGCTTCGGTTTCTGAGTGAAGCTTTGAAATTTGAAAATGGTAAAGACAATATGCTAATACAAATGGTACTCAAGAACCCTTCAGGTGAAGAATCAGATCCTCGGTAGATTTACCCAATGAAGCTCCGGCACTTTTCCCTCAACCCGAAGTCTCTCCAGATTCCATCGACATGTGTTTTTGCTTAAACCCATATATGCTAATTTTCAGAAGTGAACACACCAAATAGGCTTCATAAGAGAGAGTAGAAGATGAAAAAGTTTCCAGAAGCCACGACGAGAATGGCCTAGAAAGTAAAGCTCTCCGCCGGGAGATGCGATATAAACATAAGTTAAATAGTACGCAATCTTGTGCACGACGCCACCAAGCTATGGCTGCGCATACCGAAGAGGACTAGGGACATAAAAGGATCAGTCCTTTGTGAACCTGTTTACAAATGCTGTCTACAAAAAACCCGTTATCTAAATTCGCATCCTAGCGAACATCATAAGTGCCAGCCGATCCCCACCGAATTCGAAGAATGTTCCAAAAGTGTTTCTCACGTTGAAGAAATCGAGAGTCTTATAACCTGCTAGGTAGTAGCCTCTCTAGGCTATTATTTAAAACACTTACCACTTGTATGAGTGAGGCCCAAATATCCTCTCACCAGCGTGACTTGGACCATTTTTGAAAGCGAAAAAGAGACCTCCGAAGGAAGGAATTGAAGCGTGAACTTATATCTTTCATCTTAAATCAGGATTCAGTAAGCAAAGTGACGCTCTTTTGGATAAGACCGAGAACAAAATAAATTCAGCGTGCTAACATTCAGTTGTAATGCTTCACAGAAATACCTTCAGTTAACTAGGTAGTGTTAGACTCTCCACCTGTATCTTTTCTGGTATTCCATCAGTCCTCTAGAACTGCAAGAAAGAAGTTTCTTTGCCCTATCTATCTAATGTCAAGCAGGTTAGTTTGAGATCTTTATATATGATATTAGTCGAACACTTGATGTTGCCCGGTGAAAAGTGACAGATCAATTGTGAGTGATCGCGATCGCGATCGCGATCTGCCAAGCCGCATCCAAGGGGTTTAGGTTTTCAATCTGAGCTTATTGGGTCTTAACAACGAGAATGGTGGGGAACAAAAGCTTTTATTAGGGTATCTAATTATCCGAACCTTGAATTGTAACGCGATATTATTGGACTTTTTCCAAAAGTCATAGATTTATTATTGTGCCTTCAAAATCTGTCACAGAAATGTGCAGCTACAGATCTCCACTTTGGAACGTCAACAAACGTGGAGTTTACCATAACTTCCATTACCGAAACCTGAGAAACGAAGAGATCAATCTTCTTGTGGCCAACACTTGTTCCCTGAGACACCAAAGTCCAGGGTGCATCCGGTACATCGGCCATCTTGACATAAACTGAATATGAGCGAATGACCTGTCCATTCGTTTGGTCTTCCATTAGAACAATACGATCTATTAAAGTTGGGGTATCATATTTGAAAGAGTAGCTGCCATCGCTTCCTTGCGGCGTGGTTTCCGTGGAGTTGATGGGGTTATTATAGCATGTTCGAACAAAATCGCCAAGTTGCTTGTACAGAGCTACATGCGAATCAGGAATTAATCCGCGGGTATCAGGTGAAAAATCTAATTCAAGAATGCAATTTCGGCCAACCGTTGTGTGATAAACTCCCACAAGTTCGCTGATGTTTCGAAGAGGAAAACCGTCACCAAAGAACCATCTGGTAGGGGTGTATAAAGTGGTATCGCATTCTGCAGGGTTGAAGAAAGGACTTTTTGGATCCCCCCCATCGTCTGTATTTCCACTGAGAGACATAAGCGATGATTCAGAAAGGAGGTGAATGGGTAGTACTCACGTTGACCAATTGGGTTCTGGAGCTTCTCCAAGTTCATTTCCAACCCATCGAACTAACATTATAATCAGCACGAGCTCAAAGCACAAGCAAGTGAAGCGGGGGACTTACTGGAATGTGGTGTCAGGCAAGTTCCAGATTTCTGATCGCACGCGTTGAAAACAGCAGCATCAGGCTGCAATTCAGCCAGCATAGTCGTAATCTTGGCTCCCTGAGCGGCACTATATCCACCATCGAACCAGATCTATTTTTCGTTAGTTTAACTGCACCTAATCATGTTATGTTGGCGATTTCTCACCTCTGTTAGAGGTCCATAGTTCTTCCACAGCTCGGTCAGCTGCTCAATCACAATCCCATCGTAAACCTCCTCCGTAACCTTTAGCTGGTGTGGGCCCTGCCCTCCCCGGACCTTCGATTGTTGTACATTGAATAAATTATTAACAACAGTACTATAATAGAGTCCAGTTCCCAGACCGTACTTATTTGCCGAGGCCACAAAATCCTTCACCATATCAACACCGCTAACAGGAGAATTGGCAATTGTGTAACCATATGAGGTCGTATTCCCGTCAATCGTATGAAATTTGACCTCACTGGGCCAGGTAGCAAAGCCGCAGTTATGTTTTGCCACCAGGGTTGCGGATTTGGCTCCCAGAGCCGTCATGGCCTCCAGCCATTGGTCGGTATTGAGAGCTGTCGGAGCGAAGCGTTTGACATTCGGAACCAACTTAGGGTCTCTATTGCAGCCATCAAATTTGATATCGAGCCATGTTGCGATTTCGAAATGAATGAGAGCCGTTATTTCTTTGTCTTGATAGTCCAGCTGTTTCTGCGTTGGTAATGCGATGATAGATCCATCAATTGGTGAAACGCGAGTGTTCTGACTTGCCAACGCAACTATGCCATCTGTGTCTGCAGCAACACATATACCGACGGCCCCAACAAGAATTCCAAAGTGGTACCTCATAGTAGACGCTTGTTGGTGGGTGTTAGGAGGAGGTGGGAGTCGTGGAAGGGAAACCGAACCACACAAGGCAGAATCTGAAGTATATACTTTCTAGTATTCGTACCTCCGTATACAGGAGACCCCTCAACCCCCCGTTGCTAAATTTGATCATAAAACCCCACCTTGAACCCTTCATCCGCATAGAGATTCTCCGGGGGTCGAGAAGTTAAAAAGAGCGGATGAGACCTTCGGATAATGCGGGCGCACCTCGGTTAAACAATGGAAGTTCAACTGACGAACCATTCCTCTTACACATTCACACTTCTTGAAACCTTTTTCATGAGATTAAGGAGTTGGGATGTATAATGGCACAACGTTGTTCAAACAGATGCAGTGGCCACATACACCTCGCTACAGGCAGACCCTTTCTTACGAGAAGAACGGAACCCTCACTCCATACGCTCTTGACTGCGTACGAAGTCGCATGTAAAATTAGAAAGGGAATGTGACAGCTGAGAAACCGGTACTTGAAATGCGTCGCAATATGTTCCACGTCTGGCTAGTGGAGATTTGTACTAAGTATTACTTCGTAGTTCATATATAGTAAGTGCATCCAGTAAACGTCGGGTCATTCTGATTTTTCCTATAACGGGGAGGTGGATACACACGGCTAAACAAGACTGCGGGCCGGAAAAACGGCAGTTACCACCGAAACGGTATTTGGGTAGATCTTACTTCGAAGTAAGTCAGTGTACAGAATTTACATGTTCAGATCATCAGTGAGTTAGAAACGCCCAGCGAGGGCAGAACTGGAAAAAGCCCAAAATCTTCTTTCTCGCTTAAGAAAATGGATGAACTAGGCAGTCTTGGACAGTGACGTTGAGACGGCGAATCGTTACCAAGGAACGCCAGAACTGACACGGAAACCATAAAAGTCTACATCAACGAAATTTGAGTCTCTGATTCGCTGGATCGCTAAAATCCATCCGGGGCGAGCCTTAATGCCCCTTCAGCGTCGCATGTGTTCATCTATTTTTCGAGTTCGCGATATTTACCTTCAGCCTTAGTATCGTATTAATTAAGTTACAAGAGAACATAGACATAATTCAATTTAAAAAGTATGTTCTCAGACGAAAAAGAATCTTATCTTATGAAAACATCAACATCTCGTAAAATGCACCAGTTCCATTTTCTCTTGGTTAGATACGTTGATTCTAGACCTCCATTTAAGTTAAAGTTGTAAGATAATAATATTTCATACAAACAGAACGTTATCTTATCGAGAAAGGTGCTCTGTCACCTAGTCAATACAGGACTTCCGGTTATTTTAACGTCAGTATTACTTAAGTAGTAGAGAATGGAGCAGGTTGTATAGCCATTGTACCAAAAGTGTCCCGGAGGACGTCTACATACTACGTTCTAATACATATACGCCTTCCAAGTTGTATTCCACACTCCAGGTGTAGTACGCAAGACGGCCCGAGCCCTCATCCCGAGGCTAGTTATATTATTCCGATCGGTCCGACTGCTTAGATCTAGCTCAACCAATATAAGCCGAACCTTATTTAAACTTTTTAATATATATATACTCTGAAAATTGCTTGTTTTCGGAACTTGTAGCCTATTATGAAATCGTAAACTTCAAAAGTTAGATGTAAGATACACATGCGACGTTATAGTAAGAAGATAGACTAGCCAGGGTTGGGGTCCGAGTTGTTCATATCTTACTCTCGCAACGTTCAATATTCTTCTCGCACCACAGGAATGGAATGTAGATCAGAGATAAATAGGCATGTGTAAGATCTTACAAAAATGGGAATTTGCGAAGAAATCTCTTCCGGGTGAATTGTCTCTCGGCTGCATGGTTCTACCATTTATCCACCAACGATATGAAAGATCGCCCCTAAGCTCTTATCTGAACATTACTATTGACTCCTTCTATACAGTTTGACACTTTAGCTATACAGTTTGACAGCTAACCCGTTTAGGAAGTCAAGGCGTTCTGAGCATTCCGCGCGTCGGAGTACTCAAAACACAGAAGTGGCTTTAACAACTTGGGTGGTTTAGCGTTGGGGTTTAGGCTAGGGATCAGGGTTAGCGGAACATGAACCCCCACTACCTACGCTATCAGGATCTTACCTACCCCCTTGGGTTAGGGTTAGGGGGTAAGGGTCAGGCCCCTCGTTTAGTGGCATAAGTTCTCGATAAGCGGCGGCAGCGCGGGCAGTAATAACAGAAGGGTGTGAGAGAGTTTGTTCAAGTGTGAATAGCTTCAAATGGTAGTTGGTTAGGTTTACTGACTTTATTATTGTGAGAATGAAGACGCGTTTCCTACTCACACCTAAAATACCACTAAAGTGGAAATGCCGAGCCACCAGAAATATACGCAACGCCGCTTTCCCCTAAAGAGGTTAGCTGTCAAACTCTATAACCAAAGTGTCAAACTATACAGGAAGAGTCTTGCTATTGCTTCGAGACTTCAATTCCGCCAGGAATAAAGAAAAATATGAATCAACACCTTTTAATGAATAGGCCTCCTACTCTTATACCTCCGTCTGTACAAAAGCAAACAGGAAACTGCTAAGCGAGAGTTGAATACACATCAGGGAGGCTTTTCATGTTGCAGTTTTCTCAATCGTTCGTTTAGTTCGGCTTATCATGCTTTTATCTTCCGTGCCTCCCTCAAAATCCACGATAAGGTATACTGTAAGTTCCCCCTACGTTACGTTGCTGGACATACTTGATTTGCGCCGGGGTGTGATTAATACGGTCTTCATTTTACAGATATATTGGGGTGAGACATAGAAGACCCCGCCACATATTCTTCAGTGGGTGGATTTGATGTTTTGGGAATAAGACGTGAAGACCTCTCTGCTAATCTAATAGTAGCAGTATTGTCAGTGAGAGCATGATCACCAAACCCTGTTGAAGTGCAGACAGAGACATGAAAGTAATCTTTCGTCGACCGTTCGTACATTATCGAATACATGGGCAATCTTTCCAAGGTTACCCTGCCCTTCAACAACATTGCGAACGATCCATACCGGCTCTTGGCAGGAGAAGCAAAAGCTAACAACAAAGCGAAAAGCGAACACAACAAGCAAGCACCTTGCGGCAAAAGTAGCCCTCAACCCACACCCTCTGGAATCGTTCCCAATGCAAACAGCTTACAAAGAATGCGGGGCAATTTCATGAGTATACAGTTCAGGTGACACAAATAGATCATTCCGAACTTGTTTCAAAGTCCCTTAAACCATGGCTTCCAAAGCTGGGCGGCTAGTAAACTGAAACACTTCTTTGCATCGTGACCTTAACAAGAAACTCTTCAAGCAGCTTTGCGTGCTCCGCTGAGAGTAAATATAGTAGTTCGACTGTTATTTAGGTAGGCTCCAGAAACCATGTAAACGTTTTACCATACAACTACTTCTTCCCAGGCGAAATAAATATATTTTTGGAGGGGTTTTTACCCCGTTGCTCGCCTTAGCCACCATAGAAAAGTTGTAGCCATTTCGCCCGGGACGATGTAAATAGCACTGGCTCTTGAATATTTTCCGCCGCTGTACATAATTTTACTGCAAGTCATCGTCTTGGAATTGGAAGTTTGGGACTTGACCCTTTTGGATTTCGCGAACCACCGCTCAACTACGATATTATGCTCCTTATTTGGTGTTTCATTCGAAGCGAGAACGGCCTATTGATTGTTTACGTTTACTGAAAACTGTGAAACCGATCGAGTGTTCTTCGATCCGTTTGTAGAATGAGTAATAGAGGATAATTTTGTCACTAGAGGTGGTAGAGAAGTCTTACTGTTATGGGTCATCCTGTATAATATCCAGTTTATTGAAGCTGATACATCGAGTCTAATTTCGGTCTCTTCAATCACCTTAACGACTTCATCTTGTTCGAACCCAATCTCTGTAAACTGTTCGGTAACATTATTTCGACAGCAAATATGAACAATACCTGTAATAGCAGGCTGAGGGATAGGAGCCTCAACTTTCGCATCAGATTTGGATTTTCGGTATCCTCTCGATCGCAGTCAACTTTTTGGGCACAGGTATATCTAAAGAACTATTTTTGGCTGTAATATTAGGTTTCACGGCTAGCAACTGTGGAATCCGTAGCTTTAGCGCTTTTATCATGAAAGACTCGGAAGATAACTCTTCTCCTACCTCTAGTGTGTGGAATATCTCCAGAATCACCCCCTCGCTGTTCTTAGCTCTCTTAATAGCTTGAAGCTGACATCAGGTTCTGCGCCACATTTCAGAAGAATTCTAACCAGTTACATCTAATCTCCAGACTACTAAATTTAGAGGTTGCTTCACCTATTGGCTCGCTTCATTAATAACATAGATAGTCTTTAACTTCCCGGATCGGCTGTAGTGACTAATCTCAGTATAAGAGTCTCTAGGGAGGCTCTTATAGCCTTTATAAGGTCTAGAACTTATATTACTTTATATACCCGGAAGATACTTAGGCTACCTCTAACCCTAGTAAAAGTACTCTATACCTTAAAGACCCTAGAAATCCTAAAATAGGTTAAATTATAATTCTTATACTAGTAAATAAATATTCCTTTTATTAATAGAAGCGATCTTTTTCCTAATTTTCTATTTAACTTTTATTTAAATTAATCTACTACTTATTAAGTTATATCTAAAAAGTTATATTATAATCTTAAAATATACTCCTCTATACTTAAAGTCTATTACTATTATTAACTATAAATCGTAAGTTATTAATTATTAGCCTTATTTTAATTAGAACTACTATTATCTAAACCCAACCTCTTTTTATCTAAATCTAATAAATCCTAACTCTATACTCTTATCTTTTACTTTTTATAGACTAAGTACTTATTCTTTTATCCTACTATTTAGTATATATAGGAGTTAGTAGTTACTTACCTAGAATCCCCTTACTACTAATCTCTACTACTATTCTCTACTAGCTTATTAAACACTTAATTATAGGCTAATCCGTAGTAATATCACTCTTTTATTAATTATAACTTATTTTAGGCTTTCTTCTTTTAACTAGCTTAGAAGATATAAGTAATTTAAATAATTGCTACTTTAATTTATTCCTTAAACTAGCTAGCCTTTCTTATAGTATACTAGGAGCCTTTTTTACCTTTTTTATATTTTTTACTTCTTTAATCTTCTACTTTTCTTCCCTCTCCTCTTCTA